CCCCGCTTAGCCCGCCTCTTCTCCCCTCTGCCCGGTTCAAGCCCCGCCCCGAACTGCAGCCTAACCGACCCTTGGTTCCCCCCCCACCCCGAGGCGGGCCGAGACCACGCCCATTGCCCCGTCCAAGCTCAGCACAGCCACTCTAAGCCCCTCGGCTGGGTCCAGGCTCCGACCCAGCCCGCCTCCAACTCCGCCCACCGATCCCATGCCTATTAACTGACCTGAGGCCCCGCCCCTCCCCACCCCACACCCTAACCCAACCTGCCCCACGCCCCTCAGTCTGCACCAGGCCCTTCCCTGAACTTTGACGTCCTCCTCTGGAACCTCGGGCGGTGCAGCCCCGCGGGGGTCCTGCCTCCACACCTATGCGGAGCCCAGAGGTCCCAAATGCCCACCCCATCTTCAACTTTCTCCCTTCCACGGTCCCACACGTCCCGTTCCTCGCCCTTCACCGAAGATCCAGGCCCTGCTCACCTACCCGGCAGTACGGCGTGCCCGCGCGGCTCCCGCCCTCGAAGCCGGGCTCGCGCTCCCTCAGTGTCGCGGCCCGGCCCCTTCTCACCCGGAGACTCCGGGTCCGTTTCTATCGTGGCACCGCCCTCTCTCGGGGGCGGACCTTCCTACGTCCCGCCCACAGGCGTGGCCCCAATCCTGGAGCTCCGCCTCTTTTCTCCACAACCCGGGCTCTAGACCAGCTCGCATCGGCAATCGAACCCTACAGAGCCCCGCCCCGCCCACACAGAGGCCCCGCCCAGCACGGGCCACGCCCATTCCCTGCCACACCCACACCATCTCTCCTCACCTCTGTCCGCGTGCGCCTGGAGGATGCCCGCCCTCAGCTCCACTGAGAAAGTCCCCAGCTCAGAATGGCGCCCTCCACCAAAGGGGTGTTACAGTCTCCCGGTGGCCGTTTATGGCTCCTGACACAAAGAGGCTGAGGGGCTAGCGTTCTGCAGGCTGGTTGGTTCAGGTTTTATCATTTCCAACTTTGTGACCACGCCCTCTTCCTAAGTCAGAGGCATGGCCTAAGAGCCCGTGAGCACTGACTGCCCTGTGGGCTGGATGCAGGGACCCAGCTAGAAAAGCCGGATCGCTATGCCTGTACTTCGCGAGGAGGTGAGCTGGGGCTACCTTCAGCTAGCAAGGCTTTGTAGCAGCGAGGGAACCCGCATGTGCTCCAGGCTTCTGTACACGAAGAGGATGCACCACTGCAGTTTTGGAAGACCTGGGCGGGAAACCAAGCAGGCCAGAGGGTGAGGGGAGATCCCATGCTTCCTGTGGATCATTTCGATTCAATGACTTTCAGGCCTTGATAGGACCTGGTCTCCCTTGCAATTTCATATTCAGAAAGGGAGAACGAAGGGGATGGCTGGAGACCTGGGGAGCAGCCACAAGAGAGCGACTGAAATGGTGTTTCACTTCTCCTCCCAGGCCCTCTGGAGCCTCCTGGGTTTCTACTAGACGGCTCTTATAAGCCTTCCTTTTTCTCTTAAGTAAGCTAGAGTGGGCTTAAGCCAAACATCCTCCCAAGGTATCATTTCAGACCTAAAGGATATGAGCGACTTGTCAGCTGCCCCCTCCCCAACCAGTACCCCACTGCTGTCTCCCTGATGCTCAGCCTCCAGGTGTCCTGCAATCTCTGAACTGAATCTTCAAATGATCTCTGCCCTCTAAGGCACCCCCAGGTCCCCACTTCCCTCCCCCAAATGCCCACAGTGCTATCCCTATTTCCTTCCGGAGGGAACGGCTCCTATGTTGCTTATGTTCTAGTTACCCTCAGCTGACCTTTGAGCACCCAGTACCTCCTCCATGCCTACATCTGCCACAGCAACTGCCAAGTGAATGTGTGTGACTTTAATAAGTGGAGCAATAGTCATTGGAAAACACATTTAATTTCAAAGTAAACAAAGATGCCTGTACATTAAAGTATTTAATTAGTGAAACAATTATCAGTGTAACAAGCTGAAAAATACAGCAACTTGATACAAGACTGAGGTAACAAAATACTTCACCAAAAATCTAAAGAATCCCACAGAGGGCTGATGTCCAGTGGTTATTGCGGATGAGACAATTCACAAGTTATTAGAGAAAGTCCTTTCACAACTGCATGCAGGGATCTGCTGGAACTAAAAAAAAAAGACATCCCGGGAGAATGCAACAGATTTAACAAGAAACAAACTAAAACGTAGAAATCGATTTTCAACTTACTTGAAAGAATACATAAGAAATTGAAAAACTACTCTCTACGCAACATTTTAAATGCTAAGTGAAAAACCATGCATTTTGGCACAAAATTTATTAAAGATTATACCATACTAATAAATTAATTACTATTATCTCATTACTGAATGGTCACAGTCATTCAGACATGGAGAGAGATTAATGGTTACAAAATGAACAGATCACATTGCTGCTCTGAGTAGGGATTTGGGGCTGCCACGGGAATACACGCATGTGAATGGACTGAAATCCAACTTATAAATTCTCAACACCCAAGAAAACGTAGCTGTCATTCATACTGTATTTGAATTTAGCATTGCAGACAAAAGCCTATGGAGGGAATACTGTGAACACTCGAATCCTTCTCTCTCATTCCTCTGTAGGAGTCCTCTCTATTCTCCCCTGGCTCTGAGCCACCCGGCCTCTAGCTCAATGGCTCCAAGGAGCCCCCCCCCCAACTTCCTGTGATGGAAGACACAGAGCAAGACTGTGTCTCTTAGCCTTTCCAGAAGAACCTGTGTATAGAATTTGAACCTAGGGTGATGGGAGAGGCAGGGTACTGCCCAAGGAGGTGTGTGCAGTTGGGATTATGCTCCTCAGTGCTCTGCTCCATGAGCACAGATTGGGTCTTATTTCCTGTCATATATATCCTGGGCAGAGACTGTCACAAAGGAAGGAAGGAATGGACGGGTGGAAACTGTTATTTCAAAGGGACTCTTGTATTGTTGATATATAACCTGATATATCAACAATTGATGGAAGGCAGGCTGATTAAACTCAGAGGGTCACACAAAAGTTGGGAGGCTATTTATTTATTTATTTTTGGCAGCTGGTGGTTCCAAACATCAGCAACCAGGCTTGGCTTGCACAGTATTTCCTATGTTCATGGACAGCTTTTCATCTGAAAAAATCACATCCTTAAAGATACACCTTTCTTGGGTTTGGGAGGTGGAAATTAGATGAGGAAAGAAATATTGGCCATGTTTGTAAGAAAGAGAAACAGGTTAGAAATCAGTTGGCAAACAACCTCTCCAAGTGTCCACCTCCTTAGCACCTCAATCTGACAGGATGTGGGATGGTGTGGGATGGGGAGGGAGCTGGCCTCTCTACTCTCTCACTGGGCATGTGCAAAACACCCGTTCTAATGCCCCCACCAAACCCATCCTTCACAAAGTATTTCAGTTGCCGGGATGAGCTTGGCAGACCTTGAGTGACAAAACATGTCCAACTAAGAGGGATGATAATGACTCCTTCCAGGGCGAGGAAGGTTGAGTGGTCTACTTTGGGGCCATAACAATGCTACCAGCTACCTACCCATTTGTAGCCAGCATCCTACAACTGTCATGATGGAGTTCCACAATCTGTTTGCTTAAAGAAAATTACAGTCTATGCATGCAAGACATAACACTTTTGATTGTTTCACAGATATTTGTGCAGTACGGACAGTCAAGGAGGGAAACAGCAATGCAGGTTCTCTCCGGGGTGAGAATCCACCCCAGGACTTTCCTCCTCTTGGTTTGTGCCTGGTTCCCTGTCCCAGGTTCACAGGCCTCCCCACCTGCAGCTAGGTGCCAAGCCCAGAAATGCATGGCACTGAACTCACATGCTTGGCCTGAGTCCCTGCCTAGAGCGTAGAGTATCTTTCAGTTCAGTCTCCAGGACTTTTCTGGTGTGTTCCAGGCTCTCTAGTCCTACAGGTGTTTTTGTTTTCATCCACAGAGTCCAAGCCATTTCTTTAAGAGTCCCAAGGTAAGAATGTTTCTGGGAAGGGCTGTGGATCAGTCTTGATTAGTGAGGAGACTAAATACTTTGAAAAGAATTGTGATTGTGCTCTTTATTTCAAAATTAGGCCGAGAATAAAAGACGGTAAAGGATAAGAAAAATCTGTTAAGTGCAGAAAATAAAATGATCTAGTGGGGCATGAAATTCTGGGGCTGTGGGTTTGGTGACTATATTTCATCAGTGAAAAACCAGGAGAGTTTGAAGAGTGGAGAAGCCCAGGAAATAATCAGCCAATGCTCCAGTCTTGTACTTTCATCCAAGCTTTGACATTTTAGAAGTGAGCACACAGGATCTGATCCACATTGCTTAGTGTGACACCGTGGCAGGTTCTGATCAGAGGTGTCTGTAGTGTTTGGTGTTGTCACTCAGCCTCTAGATGCCAATTTGAAGAGTTGTTGGTAGAATCTGGTGCACATATCTGGACCCCTGGTAGGGGCAGTGTACAAGGCAGCTGTGGTCAAGGTCTGATGCCATCCATGAAACCATCTGCAGTTCCTTTTGGCATCAAACAATATGATCTTTGCTCAAAAGGAACATAGCTTCCAGATGCAATAAGGTTCAACCACAAAGTACCACCCCAGTAACAACTACTTGACCAGTTCATTCACATTTTCAGAGAAGTGTCACCACTGGATCAAAAAACCATGTTGGATCCTTGGGTAGTTTTTAAATTGAAGCTTTTGCCACAAAAGTCTTGAGGGTAGTTTGATGCCTGGTCAGAGTGAGCTTTGAAACCACAGTACCAACAAGGACCCAGACATTCTGTCCCTTTCAGAAAATTGTTTATGGATTTCCTTCTCATGTTATGCATATCCAAAATAAAGGAAAGGGAGGGGAATAGAGAGATGCTATGATAATAAAGAATAATCATTTTAGCTGGGCATGGTAGTACATACCTGTAATCCCAAAATTCAGATAGCAGAAGCAGGATGATTGAGAGTTTGAGGCTAGTCGAGGCTATAAAGCAAGACCTTGTCTCAAAAAGAAGGTGGGGGAGGGAAGCAATCATTTTGAATAAAAATGTATTTGTGCAAAATAAGTCACTTTAAGCTATGACACAAAGGTGACAGATAAATGCTGTTGTTTGTGGAAACAGCTCTTAACCAAATGTAAAGATTGAACCCTTTACTCTCTCTCATCACGTGGTTGTCAATTGTGCCCTTGGACTTGGATGATGGAGAACTTGCTGGTGACTGCATTTGGGGCAAGACTGGGGGAGCTTAAGGCCTCAGTGTCACTCAGCTCCTGGCGTGATGAGGAATCCTGGTAGGCCCCCCTTGGCAGTGGAGGCAAAGGGGTGGAATGCTGGGAGCAAGGGCCTGCCTGGCGGGGAGGTTGGCAGCACGTGGTTTCTGTGCACTGGGCACTGTGAGCCCAGCAACCTCCGTGCTGCTTCCAAGGACCTGGACCAAATGCCGCAACTTCCCACGGGGGCACAGTGGGAGCAGGTGGAACAGGAGGGCCCCAGGCTCTGCCAGGAGAGGGCATGGAAGGAAGCATGCCGGCCAGCAGCCAGGTCTCCAGTCCCAAGCCCCACCCTGCCTCTGATGGGTTGACAGCAACACGGCCCAGAAGGGCCCAGAAGGGGCCCTGGGAACAGGCCTTCCAGATGAATAGCACCCATAGGAACAGAAAACAAGACACAATTTAAGGCATTGTTTGTTTACAGTAAAAGAACGCAAGGGACCCTTAACATGGGGGCTCCCGCACTCCTCTGACCTTTCTTGTTGGATGAGGCTGGAACCAAAGGTGAAAGCAGGGCCTCAGAGCAAATGAAGGGTGTGATGTCACAGGTCTAGTGCCAAAATGCATGTTTCTCAAAGAGTTCACACTCGCTTGCACGCACACATGTATGGCACGCACACGCAGGGGACACTTCAGGGGTGTACAAAATCTGAGGCAGCCCTGTGGGCAGACAGCCCCGTGCACTTGGGGTGTAACACACCTTCCTGCAGCTGTCCCCGCCCTCTGGTCCCTCTTGCAGTCTGCACTGTCCACTCCGTGTGCAGCAGGAAGCACAGAGAACCCAACGTGGGCCAAATGCTGTCTATGGCAGAAGCGGCTGGTGGACAGATGAGGCCCAGAGAGGGGCACAGGGTGTGCAGTTCAGGGTCCAACAGCACCCTGCGAGGTGGTGCTGTAAGATGAATCATGACAGTCGCTTGGGATTTTGACGGATGGGTCCCCTACTGGAGAGCCCTCTGGGACTGTGAGGCCACAGGCCGTGTCCCTGGAATCCGGTTAGGAGGCTCCCAGTGTCCTGGCCACAGCCCATGCCCAGGGCAGCTCTTCTCCACCAGGCCCAGTCTAGGCTCCCAGAAGCCTTTGCAGTCACGCCAAGTCCCGCAGAGACTTACTCAAATGACATAAGGTTGGCAGGTACCTGGAAGAGAAAGCTCAGCCTCTTGTTAAAGTTCCAGTCCTTGGGAAAGGACAAGGGTGTTCCCTAAGGGCAGGGACCTGTGGGTCAGACAGGAAGAGGGCCTAGTGATAAAGATGCCTGTCCCTTGTTAATAATGCAGCTGGGTACTGCTCCAAGTACTCCAGTATCCTCCAGTCCTCAACACTGACTCTGGGTTGAGCTGGAAGCACCCTGCTCTGAAGCTGAAGAAACTGAGGCTTAGAGAGGCTACAGACACAGTGTGTGAGAAGCAGCCCACGATCTGACCTCTAGTCTCAAAGCGAAGTGAAAAGCAAACAACTGTGCTTGGGGTAGCAGGAGTGGAGCATGTACCTCCAGAGCCGAAACGAGGAGGGGGAAGGGAAGACATCTGGGGCTGGCGGGGCAAGGCCAGTGGAAGCACAGGGGCAGGAGAAAGTGTGGGGAACACTGTGAACCTGGAGACCTTCCCAAAGCAATGGCTCAGGATGAGATCTCAAGCTCCTTTGCTGGGCGAGGGATTATGAGCACCAAGTTGAACCCCAGATCTCCTCCCAGCACTGCTGTGGGATCCAGATTTGATCACAAGTGATTGACTCATCAAACCATTTTTGTGTCAATTTGGTCAAAATGAATAGATCTTTAAAAATGCATCGCTGTGTCCCCAGAGACCTCTAGAAGAATGTTCTCAGCAGCTTTCTCATGACTGCAAAAGGCAAGACGCCATCCTGGGAGGACTGGCAGGAGGACGAAGAGAAAAGATGAGCACAAAGGAATGAATGACAATCCTGCAGGCCGACACCGATGAATCTGAGGAACATGTTGTAGGAAAAAAAAAAAAAAGCAAGCCACAGGAACCAAAAGATGTGGGCATGGTTCTATTTATAAAAATGTTTCTCTTTTTAAATGCACCCGAGATGATATGTGTTCTAAATTTATAAAGAAGGGCTGGGGTTGGTGCTCAGTAGAACACTTGCCAACCATGTGTGACCTGGGTTTGTGCCTAGCACTGAAATAAAATAAAAACAGAAATAATAAACCAAACCAAACCAAACCAAGTGTAATTAGCATACCCAGAGAGTGGCTATAGGGTGGGGGTGGGGTGGGGTGGTAGTGAGAGCATTAGGAAGAGGGGGGGAGGGGAAGCTCCAAGGACTGGGGTTTCTGTCTTTTGGATAGGAGGTGGTGGGTAGTTGGGTGTTTGTTCTACTGATGTTTGTATTTCACACATATGTTATAAATAAGGTCTAAGTGGATTCAGTGTCAGTACAACAATTTTGAGACACACAAAATAGAAATGGCATCTTAGTCACTGCACGGAGGTTCTCCGTGGGCAGGCATCTCTGGGAAGCCTTCCTCAGGCCGGGAGGACTGGGCTTGGCGGAGGAAACCCTCTACCATTCAGGGCTTTGGTAGTTGCCTGCCTTTTGTTTCAACACAGAGTGGGACTGTTTGGCCAGAAGTAAAATAGAAATGAAAAGGTCCTGTTAAATATCCTTGTGGAGATTCTACATGCACATATCATTTTTTAAAAGGAAATATGCCTTCCCCTAAGTCTGAAAATAGGACAGCAGTACATAAAGCAGCAGAATATCACCACAGGCTGCCACATTTGTATGTAAATCCCATCCAGGAGTCCTTTGGACCAAACGTCAGCTCTGTCACGCAAGTTTGACTTGGTCCCCTGCTGTCTGCTGGGCAGCTGCTGCCACCCTCTGGCTGCTGTCCCACAGATGGACACCTGGTCCCTGTTCAGGGCCTCCTGCCTCTTGCCCTGGCCAAGCGGCTCACCTCAGAACTGTCACTTGGCTCTGGCGCCACCTGGCTTCCTTGTGCACAGGTCTTGGAGCCATCTGTGTGTGTGCAGATGGGCTTCAGTGTGTTGTGCCCTAAGACAGTGGTGCTCAGAGCAAATGGGCAGGGAGCCCAGGTCCAGCTTTTCCTCCCTGAATACCACTAGAGCCCTATTCAAGCCTCTCCCCCTTGCTCCCTTTGAACTGCCTTGAGAAGACAGTGGGTCCAAACTGTTGGCCTTGTGTTGATGGGCAGTGACATCAGCTTCATGTGCAAGCCAGGGTGGGGGGTAGCTCTGTACTACTCTGTAGTAGAGTGCATATTGCCTACCATTCCTGAGGCTCTGGGTCCCGACACGTGTGTGTGTGTGTGTGCGTGTGTGTGTGTGTGTGTGTGTGTGTGTGTGTGTGTGTACCTAGAGAGACAGATGTATTCATAAGCACTCTAAAAATGATAGAATTTTGGTTCTTTTATATATCCTTGTAGAAATTTTACATGCACATATTAAAAAGTACATTAACACAAGCAAGATTGCACCTGCCAATGTGAGTGCCCTTTGCTTTGCTACTTGGGGCAACTTTCAGGGACCTCCCACTGTCTTTCCAATGGCTCTCAGGTGTTACACTGGAGAGATCTGCTGGGCATGGTATTTTCCAGGTGCTTTTCCATCAAAAGCAATGCTTCAGTGAACATTCCTTAACTTACGTCTTGGAGGTCACAGGAGAGTAGCCCTCCACCCCAAGTTCTGTAAGTCAGGAGACTCCAATACACTTTTTGGCGCTCCCTGTGGACAGGAAGCACCTATCTAGGGATAGGAGTACCACTGCCGCCCACCCTGCCAGCAGAAGGAAACTCAGCCTCCCTGCACCTAGCCAGCCAGGCCTGTGCTCCCAGGGTCCCTAGGGGAGTGGAGGCAGGAGAGCTTAGGACAGCAAGGAGAGAAGCAGGAATCTGGAAGCCCTGAGTTAGATCCCAGCTCAACCACTCACTAACTATGGGGCCCTGAACAAGCACCTGCCATTTTCTGAGCCTCAAGATCCTCAGTGAGAACCAGCTCATAGAGACAAGGGAGGATGCTGCTAATAGCTGCATTTTACACTATGGCTGGTGAGAGAGGGGGTAGTAGTGGGGGTGGGTGGGAAGGATCAGATCATGAGTCAGTCTAGCAGCCCAAAGGGAGCCCACATCAACACAACCCTGCCTGGGGAGCAGAGTCACCTCCGCGCCCCCCCCCCCAATTTAAAGCTGCCTGGCACATGGTTGGCCCTCAGTATACCAGCTGCTACTATTATTGTGCAGGTTGGAGAAGGAAGGCTCAGTAGTCACTTTAGGATATTCCTGATATCAGCTTTAGGAAATGACTTAAATAGATCCTGGAGCCTGATCCTTGGGTAACATCACACCTACCACCTCCCGTCCCCAAAGGGGTGTTTCTGTGGCATTTCCTTTGGGAAAGTGGGGTACCAGTGGCTCACATGTACAATCCCAACTACTCAGGAGACTGAGATCTGAGGATCTTGGTTTGAAGCCAGCCTGAGCAAGAAAGTCTATAAGACTCTTATCTCCAATTGAACACCAAAAGGCCTAAAGGGGAAATCTGGCTCAAGTGGTAGGGCACTAGCTGTAAGCACAAAAACTCAGAGACAGTGTCCAGATCCTGAGTTCAAGTACCAGGACTGGTACCAAAAAAAAAAAAGAGATACAGGAACCAGATTCAAAATTCTGGTCTGGAGCCAGGCTTCATTCTAAGCTGAATAAGGAGAGCCTTGTCTCAAGGAGAAATGCTAACCCAGAAAGGCTTTCTGGAGCAGAACTGATGGGCATGGAGGGAAAAAGATAGATGCCCTTTCTCTAGTGATTCTGAGTCCTGGGGGTGGGAGAGGGCATTCAGATGACAGGTGGGATCCGGATGACTTTACCTGAGGCCTGTTGCTTTTACATGCATCATCCAAATGCTTGTGCCACAGTATCGCGTGAAATCGGGAACCAGTCTGAAACTTGTAAACATTGCCTGATGGGAGAGAAAGCACTGGTTAAGAAGATGGCACACAGGAGGATCAGCCTATGATGTAAGAAGGAAAACAGCCTTGGGAGACTAAGGAAGGTGACCCAGGTGAACTGGCAGGGAAGGCAGCTGTCTATGCTCTCTTGGACTATGGCTGAACTGGTGCTCTTACCCAGGCTGTATGTACATGTGCTAGTCCTGGGGCTTCAACTCAGGACCTGGACACTGTCCCTGAGCTAGCACTCTACCACTTGAGCCAGAGCTCCTCTTCAGGCCTTTTGGTGGTTAATTGGAGATAAGAGTCTCATGGAGTTTCCTACCTGGGCTGGCTTTGAATCTCAATCCTCAGATCTCAGTCTCCTGAGTGGGTAGAATTACAGGCATGATTCACTGGCACCTGGCTCCCTTAACCACTGTTTTTCTGGGTATTTGTGGCTTTTAGCTGTCTGGTGAGATCTGAGGACCCTTTCTCAGAAAAATGTTTTAAAATGTGTAAAATAGAATATAAAGTGTTGGGCGCTGGTGGCTCACACCTGTAATCCTAGCTACTCAGGAGGCTGAGATCTGAGGATCGAGGTTCAAATCCAACCAGGGCAGGAAAGCCTGTGAGACTCTTATCTCCAATAAACCACCACAAAACAGGAAGTGGTGCTGTGGCTCAAGTGGTAGAGCACTAGCCTTGAGCTGAAGAGCACAGAGACAACACCCAAGCCCAGAGTTCAAGCCCCACGACAGACCAAAAAAATAAAAATAAAATAAAATATAAAGAAAATCAATACTGCCGAGACCCAGTTATAACGGTCTCTAAAAACAAATGGAATGATGTGTGTGCACATGTATGTATTCATACACCAAAAACCAGATCTAGTCGCAGGTCTGATACAATGCTAATTTCAAGAAGATCACCAGTTCATCAGTGATGTTTTCAGATATCTGCAACCTGTGAAGTAAAACACCTGTGATTTCTCTTTAAGATAAAAAGCACAACTATTTCTCACATGTCTATGATTTGATGTCTATGCTTACAACGGAGGTGAGACACCATTATTTGTCAATGAAAACAAAGACGTAATTTTTTCCCCAGCCAAGTATGCAGATCCTTGAATCCTTCAGTGGACTCTGGCCACCCCTGTGTCTCATTTCCCTCCACTGGGCTCAGGCACTAGGATGGTCTGTAGCCTCCATGGCCACAAGGTCTCCCAATCAAGCTTGTGTGGCCACAGCCTTTTCTTCCTAGTGAAACCTCATCATCCTGGCCCAGGCCACTGGGGAATCATCTCCAGTACTGAGGTACTACCCAGACATCTGTGTGTGCACTTAATCACTCTCTTGTGGAGCAGAGACCTTGGAGGTCAGTGACCTGGTCAGCCCCTAGGCTTCCTGTATACCTTTGTTTCTTTGCTTCTCAGCTGACAGCATAGAACCAGACACTCAAGGAGTGGCCCCTGGCCAGAACCATTATCTGCCTCCTCTGGGAACTGTTTAGAAATGCAGAATCTTGGTCTTCATCCCAGAGCTATAGAATCCAAGCCTGAATTTTAACAAGATTCCCAGGTGAGCTGTCTGTACACAACCCCTGTAAGAAAACATTCCTATGAAGATGAAAGGGTGCTTGGAGATTTTGCAGTCCTGGAGAGAATCCAAGACCCAGGCAATGTTGAGTTTTTGTCCAGTACTTAGGTGACCACAGAAACCAGCCAAGGCCTGCTGTGCATGTCATGAAGAAAGGGTCCTGAGAAGTATGGTGCCAGAACTTCTCCCTCCCATAAAGGAGGAAGAGAAGCAAGACAGACTGGGAAAATTGTAATGCTTGAATGTTACACAGATTCTTCTCTGAGTTGGCCTTGGGCCTGGACACTGCTGATGTCTCTTCGGCCAGGCAAGTAAGGGGCCAAGACTTGGGACTCCTCCAGCCCCCTAGTCCTGCCTCATCCAGCATTGCCATTTATTCCAAGACTGAGGCTACTCCAGGGATGAGAGCCAAAGGCAAGGCCACCAAAGGGTTTCCACAGGTATGAGCCACTGCTTAGGTAGGAGCCATCTGAATATGGCACAAAGGGACAGAGGCAGCCTCGAGTTCCTAATGCTTTAGGGCACACAGTTGGCAGAAGATGAAATAGAGGAGAGCAGCTGTGAGCAGTCTCCTGCTGCCTACCTTTGTCAGGATTATTTAGCTGGAAGATATCTGGGTGCTCGGGATCATCAGGCAGCTGCACCATCCAGCCCACGATGGAGACCTTCTTGCCAGGTGTGGATTTATACTGGAAAAGAACAAGAAACAGTTGGGAGGCCCAATCCTACTCCCTCTACAGGGAGGCGGACTTGGGCCAGGCAAGTGTTCTTCCCACCCTGGTCCCTGCAGTCCCCTCATGTTGCTTCCACTAGAGCAAGTCCAGCATGAGAGCCTCTCCCAGGACTTACGTGTTTTCTGTCTGTGCCCCGCAATGATTTGGCTCCGTAGTAGAGGAGGGTGGAACCCGACAGTATGACCCAGTACCTGGTCCATGAGGCCAGCTGAGGAGGAAGAGGACACAGAGTAAAAGACATAGGGCTGGGCACGATGGCCCATCCTTATCCATGCCATGTGGCCTCCTCTCTTCCTTGGCCTTCCACTGTTCCCTGTGATACCATCTTTACCCAGGACCAAGAGTAGGGGCTTGTCTCCCCCACCCCCCTTTCACTCATTCATATGGCCTTTCCTTTCTTCACCTTGTCAAAGGCAGCACCAGGACCTAGATTATTGCTTGTTCAGGTGACCTGGACCTGAAGGTATCCCAGGAAGAAAAGAATTTTAAATAGACACGTGAGTTGGACCCTGGTAGCTCATAGCTATAATCCTAGCTATTTGGGAGGCTGAGATTAGAAGGATCATGGTTTCAGGTCAGCCCCAGACAGAAAATTCATGAGACTCCAATGCAACAGAGGAAGCTGGGCATGATGGCCAGTCCCTGTCATCTAAGCTATATTGGGAAGCCTGAACTAGACAGATCACAGTTCAGGTGCATGCCTGGGCAGGAATTGAGACCCTATCTCAAAATTAACCAGCAATATAGCTCAGCAGTAGAGCACCTATCCACCAAGTTTAAGAGATCAAATGCTAGTACTGCAAACAACAATATCCACCATAACCAAGCATGTTAAGCCACAGCCTAAAAGCAGTAGGTTGCTCTGGATGAGAGTGAGGGCCAACAGTCACAGCGCCTTCCTGGTAGAAGTGAAAGCCTTCAGGGCCTGGCTGCGCTGTGCTCTTGTGCCGTCTCCAGAGGTCAAGGCCGGGACTCCCTGTTTGGAGTACTTTATTCTAGGGTCTGCGGAGAGTCACTTCAGTGTGGCAAAGGCAAAGGTGAACTTCCAATCTGGGAGGAAGAGGACTGTGCCTCTGCGGGCAGGCTGTCAGCCTCACCACGCAGCCCTTTCCTCCTGTACGGGGATGCACTGCCACCAAAGGAACACCATGGCTTTCAGACCCATCACTATAATCATGGTGTACAGCACACATTCAACATGTGTTGACCTGAAGCAAGTTCATGGAACTTTCCATGTGAAGAACGCTGATATTTTTCAGTCAATCCCATTTTTGTTCCACTAAAAATACTGGACACGACCCACTGAATGGATCCCATCACACACTAGGGAGCTGGCCAGCATTTGGGACAACACTGCCTTGGGGACACTGCTGGCTGTGGCCTTGGAATGACTGGGGTCTGCATTCTGGGTAGCAGAGGCGCTAGGTCTGTATAAGGGGGCAGACACAGAGCCCCACACTGCAGCGGATGCTGTGATACTCTGTGCTAACAGAGGCACGTGGCCAGAGCTGGGATGGAGACTCAGGAGCACCTGAAGGTGGATAGGGCCCTGGGCAGAGGGAGGAATGGCCTCTTCAGCTAACCTTGGGCAGTGGACTGAGGCCAGTGGAACTGGAGCAAGACAGGAGGGGCAGAGACAGGAGTTGGCCAGGAGTTGAGATTTATGTTTATAATCCCAGCTAAGTGGGAGACAGAAACAGAAAAATTGTACTTAAAGTGGGGTTGTGAATTCAGTGACATGCAGGTGTAGCATCAGGCCAGCGGTGGGGATGGTAAGGCTCTGGATTCTTCCTCCCTGAGCTTTCCCTACTTGTGTTGGGAGGCTGCTGGAGGTGAGAGGGGGTCTGATGAGGGAATGCGGCAGGCATGCCCCCGGCTGCTCTGCCTCCTGGAGCTGAGCTACCCTCTTACTCCTAGTTCTTCAAGCTTCGAGTCCTCTGATACCTCTGGCTTGCTTGGAGCCCATGTGCAAGCACTCTGGCCTTCAGGAGGAGGTGCAATTTCACTCCAGTTTAGAAATGTGAAAATAAAGGCCTTCGCCTTCTGTGGCAGGGCCAGTGCTAGATCAGTACTTGGCTAGTCTCTGGACCAGGCCTCTCACTGCTGCCCATGCTAACTGAAGTACATGTAACTTACCGCAGGCTTCCGTCCTTCCTTGAGCAGCGTTTTCCTTCTCAGAGGCCCCTCCATGGTGGGCACAGCTGCTGAGCTCCCCAGGGTACAGGGGCATGGGCCTGTGGGGCTATGGGGAGACTGCTGGTTAGATGTGGCCCTGGAAGGGCTGAGGTCAGGCACCCCCACATAATGTTAGGGGTGTGTCCCCAGGTGCCCCATCGATGATCACCAGGGCCACAGGAGAGCAGGAGAGGCTTCCCACAGCTGAGAGCTTCCATCTCACTTGTCTTTGTAAGGGTGGCAAAGCCCTGGATTTCGTAACGAAGTTTCCTATAATCTGGTGTCTAGTCCTGGCTCCTATCAGGCCTGTCTGTCCCTGAGGAATATGAAGCCACTCCTGATGTTGGCAGGTTTGGAGGAAGAAGAAAAGGCAGAGTGGGTGGGAGGAACAGGGATCCTACACAATGGTTCTCTCTGCGCCCTTTTCTCTGCCTTCCTCTTTCTCCTTCTCCCTTGAGATCAGGTACCACCTTAGGTGCTAAAGTCCAAGTGCATGGCCAGCCCAGCACTAGGCTGCTATGTCTGCCCTCTACACATCCCATAGGGGCCTTGTCCACTGTGCCTTTCCCCAAGCCTGCCAGTGAACACCTCCACTCATCAGCGGCCCCTGCCAGCCACCTGGGCATTTTCTTCTCTTATGCCCAGTCAATTCCGAAGCTGTACTGACTGCAGGTCCCAACCATGGCTGTACATCTTTCACCTCAGGCCTCAGCATCTTCTTCCACATGACTGCCCAGGCTGCTTGCTGTCCCTGCTTCCACTTCTGCTTCCTCCTGTGCCCCCCAGCTGGATGGAGCTCTCCCCACCATCTTCCCAGCCTCATCTCGCACCCCTCTCCTGTCTCTCATTTCTTACAACACAGCCCTTCCTCCCCTCCCAGGATCACAGCTCACAACCTCGTGCTTGCTCTGTCATTTTTCAGTCTTGCTTGCCTGTATATATGCCCTTCCTCTCCCGGAATGCCCCACTGCTGCATGGGACAAACAGTGCACCTGGGATTAGCAAAAGCACGATGGAAACAGGCCGAGTCTTTCTCCTTCAGGTGCATCTAGCGGAGGGCTTCATCCCAGCAAACCACCCAAAGCTATCTGTTGAATAAATAAATGAATGAGTAAATAAATACCTGTAGACACAGCTCCGGGTTCTGGGAGAATTCCGAACCGGAACTCGCCAGTTGGGGCCCAGCGTGGCATACAGACGTCCCCTGCTTCAGAGGAAAAGGGAGAACTTTAGCAAGCGCCCGGAAGGAGCAGATACTCCTGAAGGTGCAAGAGCATCTCCGACTGCGTGGTTCTCCCCCCACCCTCCTCCTCTCCAGGCTCCTCACTCTTGCTACAAGCATGTCAAGGACAGCTTGGAGCACCTGGCCTGTGAACACACCCTTCGGTGCCTCCATCCTGCAAAGTCCTTTTTATTGATTGTTCAGTGGCTTTTCAGTTACCCCATGGGAAACTAAGCTGGTCAAAGCTACCCAGCCTGTTCAGTCCACTGGAAGTCCACATTAAAAGCACACAGAATTGCGGGCAGTTTTGCACATTAGACTAGAACAAGTGCAGCTCCCGTTACCCTGTCCATCACTGATTCCTGTGTTGTTCCGCCTGCTCCTCTAGACAAATTCCTTTGCTGGTTCCAGCTGTCCTTGCAAACTGGATCTGCAATTCGTTGCATTTGAAAGCCTGGACTCTAGGGCCTCCTTGTGGGCTCCGTGTGCCTTTTCTCTTCCTATACTTCAGCCTGGGCCTTCCTAGGGCAGTGTGTTGCTTGCTGTTCCACTTCCTTGAGGGGAGGTGCTCTCGCCCATATCCTTTCCCATCTTAGAAGACTCACTTCCTGTGTCCATTGCTGCACCAGCAAGAGGCTGTTATGCGCCCTTTCTTTGCACTCTAGGCAGCTGGCAATGTGACTGGCTGTGTAAAGTCAGACAAGGTCCTAACTTCCTTTCTAAATGTTCCCTTTGTCATCTATGACCAGCCTTAGGTTGCTGCCTGTTGCCCAGGCCGCTGGCCTGGACATTCTCACTCACTGCAGCAGGGGCACTGTTATATCACTGGGCCAAGGGCTTCTGCCCTCCAACCAGGTAGGAACTGTTCCTGACGACCATCTCAGGCTCACTGTGCAGGGGTCCAAGTCCATGACTGGTGGGAGACCTGCCATAGCTTGTGCTGATGCCACAGGTCCTCAACATAACAGGTCTCATGATGCTCACAGGCTGACCCTGCTTTCCCTTAAGCTCTGGCACAGATGAAGAGACCCTGGTGTTTTCAACTCCTGACCTACTGGCTGGACTGCAGTATGTGAGCATGGCTGTCCTGAGCCCCAGGCGCCTGATAAACAGAGGGAGCACTCAGACTTTGCAGACACCTCCCCCCTCCCCACCCCCCCTTCCCCCCCGGGCTGGGCAGTACTACTGGGCCAGGGCAGGCAGGCAGCCTCCAGGCATCATCTCTTTTCCAATCACTGCAAGCAAGGTCTGGCAATGAAGCTTTCTGTGGTCTTATGTGTTGTGGCTTTGTCTACTGTTCAGGCATTGTGCTATCTTCTCCTCCTCTGATCCAGACTCCCATTCTGAGATACAGCTGTCTCGGCTTAGAGATGGAGCCTCCCCTCTACTTCTTCTTCTGGGCCTCGCTCCATGCTGCTCCAGGACGTGGGGTGGAGGCCGGTGTGCCATGGCCACTTGTTCCTCCCACAAGGCAGAAGAGTGTTGCCATCTTCTTCTCATTCTGCTCTCCCCCTGGTCAGCAGCTCCTTGTTGTCAGCTGGTAGAAGTGTTGCATGTTCACGGAGAGCTTGAAACCTGCATCTACCAACTGCTCTGGCTTGGGAAGCAATCATTCTATAGGCCTTCCCAGAGCCGTGAGGAGCCCAACAGGTAGAGATTTGGCCTGATTTGTCAGGACATTTGGCCCGATGGAAGAGCTACTGGGGGTGAGTGCTCACTCTCTGCAGCTTTGTTCAAGCACCATTACCCTCCCCCACAAGGGGGTATAGAAGCTCAGCAATGTGAAGCTATTTGACCAGTGCAGGAGCCTCAAAAACCAGAGTTAGAACCCAGTTCTGTTCAACTCTATATCCTAATACCTCATTGCACCTAATACCTTTGGATGCAGCACTTTCCTGGCCCTGTATGCTCAGAGTGTGTACCTCTGCACCTCTACTGTGTGTGTGTATATTGGGGGGGGCTTTTCTTCAGCTTAGGGACTGGGCATTGGCAGTGTCTGTGAGCTTAATGGCCACAAAGTTCTTAGACTGCAGATGTCCTGGAGTGGGGCACCTCCCAGATCCCTGGCCCTTGATTTCCTCACCAAGTCCTCCTGGGGGCTATGGCAACACAGAACTTAAGAGTCGCTGCCCCCCAGTCTGCTATTAGAGATGGCGATGCAAATGCTCACACAGAAGGCCTGTTTCCTACTGTGTGTGGACTGCTATGGCTGTGTGGAAACCTGCTCTCCTCTGAGAAATTCTACCATGGAAAAATTTGGAATATCTGAGTAGACAGTGGCACCTGGTAAACCCCAGAAATCATGGGCTTTCTCAGGAGGACCCCTAGTGGAGCCACAGATCGCCTTCCTAATGCCATTTTAGAAGCATGTGACTGGACATATGTCCTCAGAAGGCTAAGTACTCCTCTCCAGGATGGATCGGTGGGTGAGGCCGGCAGACAAGGGGCTCATGAGAAGTTTGCTCTGGGGAAGATGCAGGCTGCTAACCAGGTAAAACACCTCGTCCCACAGGGTTGGCAAGATGACAGTGACAATGACCATGATGATGACGAATGACCGGAGGCTGATGATGATGGTGTCAGCGGTGACGACAGTGGTAGTGGAGGTGATGGTGATGGGTGCTAGGCACTGTGCTCAGCAGAATTCCTTCTCTGTCTCCATTGATCATAGGGTGCTTACCTTCCCTGCCATCTAGTTAACAACTGAGGCTGGAAGTGGTAGAGTCACTTGCCCAAGGCCACAGCACCGGGAGGAGGAAGGATGGCTGGGGCTGTTACAGTAAAAGCAGTCACAGCCTCATGAGCACTTAGGCTAGCCTAGCTGAGGTATCACTTCCCAAGTATTCATCAGGTTTAGAGGTATCTTGGGGTTTAAATTTCATAGAGCCCTTAATATTATTGCTGGTGTAGTGTGTGTGTGGGGGAGAGGAGTGAAGTCTTACATCACAGTTAAGCTGAGGCCTCTTAGCTGAGGCAGGGCTCCCCACCCTGTCCTCCTGCATCTAGTTCACAGAGCCCTGTGAGGGTGCACCTGTGGACAGGCCATGGGGTGCTGTTCATCAACATTGCTCACTGTACCAGAAAGCCCTCGTCACTTCCTGGTGACTCTCCCTTCTCTGCATGTAAAAATCATCACCTTCCGATCTCTGGGACAACCCTTCCTGCAGTACCTTTTCAACTATGTTTTGCATGTCTCCACTCTTCCCAAGGCTGATTAGACAGGACAACACGCAAACCCAAGGTAGATTTTTTTTTTCCTTAGCAATGAAGATCTAGTTCAGAGGCTGGACTAGACAAGTTCAGAGGCTTAGTGGCTGGGTGAACCCATACATTCTCCTCTCTGCGTACTGAGAAGTTCAGAAATGTGGTCTGCAGTTGGAGGGGGGGGCGTATAGCAGGTGCACAGCGGGAAGGACTGGCACAGATGGAAGAAAATACTGCCATTTCTAGGAACGGCTCTTGGGTGGGGATATAGACATTGGACAGAAAAGCAGAGGTCTCTCAGCTCCTATGAAACAGCAGCCAGCTGGCAGGGACTTGCCTTGACTGTCTCAGCCTAGGACAGGGTCAAGCACAAGACCTACTCTTCTTTCAGAGAATTCTGCCCAAGAGTCTTTCTTGCCAGCTAAGGGAGTAAAGGAAGAGATGGAGTCTTTGGGAGATACTATAACCAAAGTTTGGGAGGTCATCCAACTGAGCTGTTTTGCTCAACTCAGGTACAAGGACAGACCCAGGCAAAACAGACTTCTGGCGCGCTGGTGAGCTATGAGAGCTTGGGACTCCTGGCTGCAGCCATATGTGTGTTGGGGGGTAGGAGAAGTTCTCTGTGAGTCACCCTGAGCCTCTTCACTCACAGCCCATCTGCTAAGACCAACAGTTAGCCTCCTACAGGCCTCACTGGACCTCCCTCACCCCATGCGCCCGTAGCTCATGCAGAGCGTTCTCCTGTAGGACGTATGGGGTCTTTCTAGTCCATCCAGCAGCATCAATTGCCACTTGGGGAGATTTCTCCCCCTGTTCAGCCTTCCCTCCTGCATGGCTTTCTTGCTGGTGATATACACCATCTGATAGGAACTTTACTTTTTGTGCCGAACCTGAGGCTTGAACTCAGGGCCTGAGCACTGTCCTTGAGCTTTTTTTGCTCAAGGCTAGCACTTGATCACTTGAACCACAGCTCTACTTCCAGCTTTTTTTGGTAGTTAATTGGAGATAAGAGTCATGCAATTTCCTGCCTAGGGTGGCTTCAAACCACAATCTTCAGATCTCAGCCTCCTGAGTAGCTAGGACTGCAGGTGTGAGACTCAGGCAGTGGCTGACGGGAACTCTTAAAATCCCACACTAGTCCCTCTACAAAGCAGCTCCTTCCAGGTCCCAAGTGTTCACCATGTGGGTCCCCATCACACAGCTAAGGAATGAAAGCTCAGAGGTCAGAAGGGGCCATCAGAAGTGGTGGCCCCGGCCTCAGGCCCTTGGCACTGCCAGCCATGTATTTCACTACACAGGTATCCTAGGAACTCAACAGAGCAAGACATGTCATGCAAACACAAATCCTGCAGGGGGTACTCCTGAGCTTTGAGCACTCCTGGGCTACCTCTCTAGTCCCAGCACTTGACTCAATGCTCACAGCCTCCTCAGATATCTGGACCCCCAGGAGGGCTCACCAGGCTATTTCCCACAGAACACCTTTTGGGCCTCTATTAGCTTCCTCCAGAAGCCACCTCTGAGCCAGCAGCCAAACCGGGTTAACCTGTTAGAACCACTGCAATCAGCAAGACTGCACCAGTGCTCCCAGGGCTCTGTGCATGGCATCCTGAAGGTTCTATGAGCTTACAAGTTCCTTCTTTCAAGGAAGGCAGATGACCCCTCTACTGCACAGAGGGCTGGGCAATGTCCCTTCTCTCATCTCTCTCTCACTGGAGGGGCTTCTGCTGGCTGTGGGGTCCCTCAAGGGTTTCTCCCTCCTAGTCTGCCCATCATGACCCATGTCTATATAAGAAGACCTCCACAGGGCTGGCAATGTCAAAATGGGGAAGATGGATGGCTCAGGTATTTGTAATAAACTCTTACACACTTTCATATTTTGCTTCTTAAAAATCAATCACTAACCATTTCTGACGATGTCTCCCCCCCCCACCCCCCGCTCATGGGCTTGAGCTCTGGGCCTGGGCACTGACCCTGAACTCTTCAGCTCAAGGTGAGTGCTCTACCATTTGAGCCACAATGCCACTCCAATTTTCTGGTGGTTTATTGGAGATAAGAGTCTCATGGACTTTCTTGCCTAGGCTGGCTTTGAACTGTGATCCTCAGATCTCAGCCTCCTGAGTAGCTAGGAAGGATTACAGGTGTGAGCCACTGGTACCCGGCTTGATGATATCTTCTTTAGAAAACTTAAATGCTAATTCTTTTTCTGATGAGAAAAGAAGGACTAACCCATTGTGGAAAACCTAAGACAACACAGGGACAGGGGAGTCTCAAGAATCCTCCAAGGCAGAGATAATCAAGATGAATGACCTGTGTGGTCATCCCTATACTGATGTTCATCTCTACAATCCACTTTGTTCCTTTTGAAAAACAAACCTACTTTAAGATATTTTGATCTTTAAGCTGATTTTCATGTTCTCGGTGCCAACACTTGGCTTTTAACCCAAGCACAAAGCAGCCGGATACTTCCCCCTCTGGCCCTGGCTGAACTCCTTTCTCCTGTGTGCCTAAGGGGCCTGAGATTGGCTGAGCCCTGCCCAGCACCAGTCCCCAGCCCTTCTCCAGTTCCCTAAGCACCTACTGAAAACACCTTTCAGAACTGCCTCTCTCCCCTCATTGGGAGAGTGCATGTGTTGAGGAGCTGTCTTCTACCTTCCTCCCCGTAGGCCAGGGCTGTCTGGTAGGAACCCTTACCCCACTCCCTAGTGACAAAGGCCCAGGCCCAGGCTTCCCCCATGATCAGGGGCCCAAGGACAGATGGGTCCCTTTAGGGAGGCCTGGGAACTTAGAAATGACCAACTAATACCTCCCTGGCCTGGATGCCACCATTTTCCATTCCCACAGACCCTGACATTGCCAGGCTGACATCATGCCCCCTCACCCCACAATGCAGCAAGAATGAGTAGTGAGGGTGCTCTTGAAGCTGTCCACCTCAAGGACATACTAGATATGTGTAGCCTGGACTCTGGCCAGTGTCAAGGACTATCTTTAGGCCCCTGGGTGGACATATCCATGTGTTAAGACACAGGGAAGATAATCTCCTAAGGCAGCTAAATGACCCCACCCTTGGCTGGACACTGGCAGCTCTGCTGACCACCATGGTGATATTACCAGGGATTCAGACCTGTATGCAGGGTGTAGTCACTAGTCTACAGTCTCCCTGCCCTTTACGGTGCAATCTGACTTCATTTCTCTGCCTGGTCTGGGCGAAGCTTCTTACCAGGGCTGGGGGCTTTGAGGGACTAAGGGGCTAGGGAGCTGGTCAAAGGTCATAGTCCAAGTTTCAGAGCTGAGAGCAGAGGGCTATCCCCTTCCTCTTCCAGTAGCCAGCCTCCTCCTCTCCCTCTCCATCTGGAGTGGGTCCAGCCCTCCTAGCACCTCAGTTCCAAGTCCACCACATCTGGTCAAGTTAGGTAGAAAGATGCAGAGGAAACTGCGGTCTTGCAGTATCTGTGAGGGACAAATGGTGGGGTCTCTGGGTATGGAGGCTTTTTCTGGGCAGATGCTGGCCTCTGGGCCCTGACAGGCTGATAGCTAGGAACCAACTCTTCTAAAGAGCAGGAACATGTGGCCTGGGAGCCCTGCGAGGGCTAGGGGGAGCCAGTAGGACTGAGCACTTGGGAGTAGAGGAGAGTCAGGCAACAACCTGACAGCGACTGAGCTAAAGGGACAGTGCAACATGGAACAAGGAGGCTCACCTACAAGGGAATGGCCTCAAATGCTCCTGTGGACTGTGGGAGAGCCTGGAACATCTGCATGCTTTCCAGGAAGAAGGTTCTCTGGAGGACAGGAGCAGAGGCTGGTATGAGGGAGAAACAGGAAGTGGTAGCTGGGCCACTGGGGACAAGGGCTAGGGACAGCTGGCACTCAGCTTGTCAGGCCTCTTTGGAGGGGACATCAGAGCCCACTGGCATCTTCTTTTATATACATACATACATACATACATATATATATATATACACATACATATCTATGTCTTTTATTGTAGAAATACTGAACAGAGGGGTTATAGTTACATGAGTAGGGTGATGAGTATGTTTCCTATCAAGCATTGTTACCTCCTCCTTTTTCTCCTGCCGTCCTTTCCTTCCCCACCTTCTCAACTCTTCCCCCCCCCCCCCCGCCCTGCCCGCTAGCATCTTCTGAAGCAAGTGGCCTCCTGCTATCCTCAGTAGGAAGAGGTGCCTAAGACAAAGACAACAAGATGCCTTCCCTGGAGGGCAGTTCAAGGACTGCTGGAGAAGAGCTGTGCTGTGTGGATGAGCCAGCAATGAAGGGGGGAGGAGGGAGGACAATGCTTAGAGGACATCCTATCCCTAAGGCACCTGTAATGGACATACGATGGAGAGCGATCAAGAAGCTTACAGCATTCAGGAACTGCATTCAGCACTGTCACTCTGGAACAAGGAAGGCCTCTACCTCTTTCCTCCCTAATAGTGCTACTCTCATTGTGACACTTAGGGAAGCATGCAGCCTCCACCCTTAGCAGCTAGCAGGCAGTCTGGCAGGGAGTAGTTCTTAATAAACAGCTAGTGAATGAGTCAATGGATAAATGAGTGAATGAAGGAAGGAATCTATGACAGGATGAATGAATGGACACAGACAAGGCCAGGTGTGATTACTATTCTTGAGCTCGGCCCTAAGCCTGTTTCCAGTCTGATGTCTTCTCATTGGTCTATGGCCAGGAGGGATGCTGGCTGGTGTAGTCCTCTTCTCCCAGGAGTTCCCTGACCAGGGCTGAGTCTGCTCCTTGATCATGTCAGCTTTTTTCTTCTACTGCTGGGTGGCCAAGAGCTGGAGTGACTGGGCCACTTTGCCTGAACTTCCAAATGGGAGCATTGCAAATGTTCCTCAGGTGTTCCCAGGGAAGGACAGAGAGCAAGCCTCAGAGTACTCAGAGCCTTACCCTGACAGAAAGACTGCCATGGGCCAGCCCCAAAGTCACCACCAGCTCTCTGGCCAAGGCATGGGGTGGTAAAGAGGAGGGATTGATGGGAGGAAGATGTGGGTTTGGGTCAGCTCTGCTCCTGCCAGATCATTCTGTATATATCCCCCCCATAGGTGCATGAGTGTACCTGTGTAAGTATAAGCATGTGAAGAGTATTTAGTGTGTGTGCATGTGTAAGTGTAAGAGGGTAATGAAGGTGAGGCAGGCAAGTCACCTGACCTCTGGGAGCCCTGCTCTCCCCATGTACCACCAGGACAATCTGCATGGCTGCTGCAGAGGAATGCTGAGTGTGCAGAGTCCAAGCAAGGCAGAAGACGGTGCCTGGCACACAGGGGACATTCAGTACCTTAAGGGTACATATGATCCCCTCAACCCCTGGTAATTTTATGATTATGGAGATGGGGAACAGAAGCTTTAGTGTAATGGGAGTCTGTGTCTGTGTGTGCACAAGTGCATGTATGTGTTGTGTGCTATACATGAACATATACATATATATGTATAAAAATACTTGTCCACACACGAGCATGATACACATACATGAGTGACACACATGCATGAGGGGATGTAAATATAAATGTGTAAAAGTGTCCAGTGTGTGCATGTGTGTTTGCATGTATAAGAGTGTAATTGCATGTATAGCTGAGAACTGTTGTGTGTACAACTGAGAGTATGTATATTCAAAAGCTATATAACTGAGTGTGCATGTGTGCTGAGGAAATGTGTGTAACTGGGTGTGCGTGTGAAAGGTATGCAAGTGAAAGTGTATAGGTATTTGTGAGTTGCGTGTATGTGTATGTGTGCGTATAATGTGCATGCATTACAGGTAGCTCTGGTTATAGTTGTGAGTGTACATGCATGTGTAAGAATGTCAGGTTTCTGTGCGTATACATGTGTGCATGTATAATGAGTATGTAGCTGAGTGAGCAGGTATGTGTGTATGTGTGAGAACGTGCAGACAGCTATCAACGTGCATGTGTGTGAAAGTGTGTGTGGGTGGTCACATCTTAGGTCTTACTAGGTGCTATCTCATTCCTAGGCTAGAAGCCATTTGTTGCTGTGTGGCTGCAACACTCTTGGATCCCACCAGATGGAGCCATGTGCCTGTATCAAATAGACAAGTGATTCTCAGGATTCCAGTGTAAAGAACCCACAAACCCACACTTTAGACCCTGTCTGCTTCTGCAGCTGGGCTGGACAAAGTGCTCCTGGGTTGACTCCTGCACCAGAGGGGTTGTGAGACTGCTCAGAGCACAGGGGCATAGAACCCCCATGCCATCCTGCTTCTGCCCTGTGACCAGGAGCCAAGGGCCACTCTACTGAGCTTGTGTCCAGCTCCCTAGGACCTCCCGTGGGAGAGAGGCCATGCTGAGGCCACACTCACCTTTCCAGCCCTGAAGACATCTCTTCACTAAACTCTGAGCTCTCACTACTGCCTGGAAAAGGAACACAGATCAGTGAGCGCAGTGGCCGTGCACAGAGCGGCCTGTTCTCCTGTGCTACCAGGCCCCTAAGCTCACAGCTTCTGAGCCTGTAAACAGCATGAGTGGAGGTTTTTGCTGCTATTTCTGACTTTGATTCTAGTCCTGCTCTATCCAGGCACATCTTGAACCCTGGGCTGCTGAGATGCCCTGCTTCCCTCGGCTACCCCAAACCTCTATGAGAGAAGATTTCTTCCTACCACCGAAGCATCCATGTACCACAACTCTGTTCTCTGATCTTGGGGGGTTCCCTGAACCTCGGGAGAAAGCACCAAGGCTGAGCAGTAGGAAGGGGTAGGGGTGGAGCCCTAACCCCATGAATCAGCCTGAGCAATGGTCTCACCAGTGGGTGATGGAACAGCCTAGCTCCAATCAGGGCACACAGACACACAAAGCCATTTTCTCACTCAGGGCTTCCACCCCAGTTTGCTGACTTGAGGAGCCAAAACCAAACAATCTGATCTTGCCTGGATGCTGGACAGCACAGCACCTGACTTGCTTTCTGTCTCAGAAACAGCAGCCTTGATTTAGTACATCCAGTTTCTAGTATGTCCAATAGCTATGTTGTGCTCAACAGAGCAATCTTGGGTCCACACTGCCCAGAGTACACTCCTCAGGACCCAGGTCTCATCGCTCCTGCCAAGAAGGGGTCCATGAGCAAAGGCTGTGGAACTCTGCAAGCTGGAGGACTGCAGTGGCTGTGAGCAAAGCCAAGTCTCAGGGAAGAAGCCTACTTTCCTTCAGCCTCTCCCCAGCACAAGAGCCCAGAGCTCTGCTTGGAATACACACTTATCAGAAATGCACTGTCCCAAGCTGTCCTACCCCTCTGCCTGCATCCAAACAGGACACTATCCCCTGAGCATGCAAGGGGCTTGCTTGTCTCACACTTGCTGGGATAGCTGCTCCCTGGGCTTATATTGCCTATGACCTCTCAGACTGTCTTCATTTCAGCAGGACACCCACTGAGTCTTCCTATTACCTGTTCCCTCAAGCCCCTGGTCCCCTACCCCACAATCCTCACCAGAACAAATTCCCAGCAGGGTAACTATCTGCCCCACCTCTGGGAGCTCTGGGAGAGCTCCTTGCTAAGGAAAGCAAACAGACACACAGACATACAGAGTACAGCAGCATAGGCACATTGGAAGCCAAAGGCCATCACAGGACACTGGTCTGAGGGAGTGAAGACAGGGGGATGCCCTGCTCTCAGAGGCACTGCTGGGAACCAGACCTGTGAGCAGAGATCAATGCTAGCCTCAACCCTAATACAGGTGACTCCCAGCTCAGCCTCCGCGGCACAAGTCCTATCCTTCCCATGGACACAGCACTGTTTCTGCTTATGCTCAAGGTCCCTTTTGCACTGTCCCTCCCGTCGCTTCTCAGTGGGAGGACAAGTACACAGGTAAGAACAGTGGCCCACCCCACACTTTCCCCGAGTGGCTGCCTTGCTTTGCTCTGCAGGTCTTTGGCCCTGTGACTCCTTCTGGGGCCAAAGTGCCACTCTGAGAGTTGAGCCAGACTCAAGCATGCGTCTATCTGCCTGCCACACTTGGGGACACTGAAGGAACGCGGGCAACCTGGGGTTCTCTTTGTAGCCCAGCAGGTCAGGAAGTGGAGGCTTGCCGAGCTCCAGGGTATTCTACTTGGTGGTGGAGAGGGGCCACTGGGCGCGGCACAGTGACAAAGACAGACATGGAGCACACACTGGGCCGGCGGCCCCCGCCTGTGGTGTGCAGGCTGGAGACGCTTACCTAGGGAGAGTCCATTGGTGACAGCAGAGGAGGAGGTGAGGGTGAGGCCCCTGCGGGGGCTGCGGGACTCTAGGACACTGTCGTCCAGAAGGTGCCTGGCTTTCTCCGATGGGAATGTCGCACTTTTACTTTCAACTACACTCAACTGACACATCATACTGGAAAATGGAGAGGAAAAGAGAAGGCAAAGCTCCTTATCTCACAAGTATCAGTGGCCGCAACTGCCCTGGGAGCTGGGGCCAGAGGTCAGCTGCAGGAAAAAGGCCTACCCAGAGCCATGAGCTACCCAGCCTCTGCCTCTCTCTGGGCGTGACCTTGGGCAAGTTGCATCCTTCTCCTGAGCCTCTGTTTCTCCATCTTCCACTGGGGACTGATGCTGCTGGCTTTGCCTGTCTCCCGGGATGAAGATGAGGCCGTGAGTGATGGGGCAGCAAAAGGGAGGGGCAGCAAGCTGGGCACAATGGCTGTTCTGGAGTCACCTGCATCTGGTCTGCATCCTGGTTCCAACGCCTCCTCAATCTCACAAAGGCATCACCTGTGAGCCTCATGGGGCCCATGCTTACAGTAGTAAGAGCAGCTGCCTCAGAGGCCTGGGTGGCTCTGGCTGAGACTGCACCCCACAGACATGAGGCATCTTGGGGAGTAGGTGGAGGAAGCACTTGAAGACAAAGAAAGCAACTCTGACCTCTTTCAGCCTTGGGGCTCCTCTGAGGCGAGCCTGGGAGGCTGGCAGTTGTGGCCTCAGTGGTAGATGGAAGCAGGCAGAAAGGAGGAAGAAAGATGGGAAGGAAGGCAGGCATAAGGAAAGGGGTGGGGAGATGGATTTCTCTTTGGGAGCCTGTGCCAACCCAATGCCTGGGGCATGTGGGCATGACCACCCTCAGCCATGCTGAGGACCTGTGTCCCCGGCTGTGGGCTCTGTGGGCTCCACAGAGCAGGTGAGCTGGTAGCAGCTGTACTTCTCTGTGGGCAGATGCCAGCAGACCCCTCAAAGCTGCCTGGACACAGTCTCTGGTGTCCACAGGACTCTGGTTCCCCGCAACTGGCTGCTAACCAAGCTTCAGTGTGTTCTCTGGAACCTCTGTTGGGCCCCCTGCCCTTGCTTTCCCATGCCCTTCCTCCACTAGCCACTGAGCCAATGGCATACGGTCTGTGCTGCCAGCTGCCTATCTGCTCTTTCTGAACCAGGCCCTGACTTGGGAGAAAACTCCCAAGAGGGACACCAAGAGCCCACAGAAAGAGGTGGGAGAACTTCCCAGAATCCTGCCAGCCCATTCCCACGGAGGTCAGGCGGATGCCTGGATGTGGGGGGTGGGGAGCACTGGGGCTCAGTCACCTACTTGTTGCCCAGGCTGTGACTCTTTCTGTGTCTGGGGACTGGTGGTGTGGGAAGGCTGCCAGCCACAGATGCATCAGGACAGGTGGGCCTCCGGCGGAACCTGGCTGAGCTGGAGCTTGCGGAGGGGCCTGTGAACACAGAAGAGGAGAGCGATGACAGGAGTCATAGGAGTAGGCATATGGAGAAGGGAGTTGAGGAGAAGGGAGGCTCAGGGAAGGTGGGCCCTAGATTTGAGGTAGGGCCTCTGACCCAGCTGGCACAGGCGGGACAAGGTTCCCACAAGCCACATATATTTCTACGTGTCCAGTACTGACCCCTTCCTCCTATGCTGACAGGCCACCTTTGCACTGCAAAGGCCCACCTCCTGGTGGTGTCTGAAGAATAGGATATGATAGGCCAATCCATAGGGATCCAGAGAGGCATGCCCCCAAAGCATAGACCTCTGAAGAGGTCTATGACTGGTATGGAGTGGGGCAAGTAGACCCTGCTCCATGGCTCCAGGGCTTCCATGTTGGCATCAGCTTGAGCTCTGATTCTTGCCAAATCTGTATCAGAACTATGTGGAGGGAGAAGGTCATCCCCGGTGGCTCTGACTGTGAGGTCACAGGGGTTCTGCACAGGCCCTGCACCAACCCCTCACCCCCAAGGCACCCCTGGGAAGACCCTCTGCTCTACATGCCAGGACACAAGCAGCTGTGACCTGAAGGCAGCAGTTCTCACCACGGCTCTGCTCCAGAGAGGATAAGAAGAATGAAAACCATCCTGCTTTGTTTTGGTTTCACACTACTGCAGAGCAGAAGCCAGAGGGTGGAACCGGCCTTGTTTATCAGCAGCCCTGAGAGCAGATTACAGTCCCTGCCTGAGTCACTCAGCTCCCACCCTGTGTGCAGAACGTGTGCTCTGAAGGTCAGCTGCACTGAGCCTCCTCCTGTGGTCTCAAGTGGAGGGCCAGGGGCCCTGGGGGTGGACCAGAAATGATGGTGATGGTTAGGATTTGATGCTGTGCAAGAGGCACTGCATCCTCGGTGGACCCATTTTTATAAGATGAGAAAGTGGGGCTTATAGACCTACTATGTGCTGGAGGTAAGACCTGAACCTAGGCCTCATGGGGATATCCAGAGCCAAGACACTGGACAGCACACCAGGAAGGGAACAGAAAGACCAGGTGTGAGGGGTCTGTGGAGCAGGAGGCCTTTCCTCCAGGAAATCTGGAATGGGTCAGACCCACTCTGCCCTTGAGCGAGGGAAAAGGAAGGAGACTAGGCTCCACCCACACCACTGTGTGCAGGCTTGTGGAAACACTGCCTAGCCCAACCTCACAGCCTCTAGTGTGGTTATCATGATTAAGGGAGCCCCCTCCAGGGCCACGGGGGGTGTGTGTGTGTGTGGAGGGGACTGCAGGGTGGCACTCACTCTCACATGACTCCGGCACTGCTTCCCTTTCTGAGATCTCCCAAACCCTCAAGACTCATTTTGGTGCCTTCCATCCAACACTGGATTCTCTCTGCAGAACTAAGCCTGGATGCACCCCTCTCCTTTCTGCTGTGAAACGTGGGAGGCAGGCCTGGCCTCAGATGCCCCCTGGACACGCTGTGGAGTATTTGCAGGGGCCCAGTGGAAGAGCTGAGCCTCTGGAGCTGCTGCTGCTCTCCCTGCTCTGGGTCTTTGCCACTCCTCCCCTGCATTGCTGACCAGCAGCCTGGGACTGACGAGGAAGCAGAAGAATTTCCATTCAGCTGGGACCCAGATTTGGGGGGCGGGGGGGCTATGTACCAGTAAGTGACACCCTTTGCTACTGAAAGGCCTTACGTTCCTGCTCTGCCAAGTCTGGGGGCGGGGCGGAGGAGTGGCATGTGACAGTGCCAGAGACACGTGTCTTCTAGGGCTGTCTTTTGAACTAGGAGGCTGGCAGGCTGGTTTAGTGTCCTCTGGTAGGGGCAGGGGCAGGGGCAGGGAGCAGGCAGTGAAGAGTGGAGGCTCTGGTCTTCTTAGCAGAGTACAGGCGTTACAGCCTTGGCCTGATATGGCAGGGACAAATGGAAAAACTGACCATGTGGCTTGACTATCTCAGAGGATTGCTCTATTTTTCCTCAGCATAATTTTTCCATGAATAATCTTTAAAGCTCTTCAAGTGGCTGTTTCTTTAGCAGTTTTATTGGAACATATGAGAATTGACGGTCTCTGTGGGGAACGAGATACTATGTTGAAAAAAAAAATCTGGTTTTCATTATGAGAACCCAACACACTGCCCAACAGACCACTCATTGATTGGAAGAGAAAAAACTCTGAGCCTTCAAATAACAGCCTTGGAGTAGTCAGGATGCAGGACGATGAGCAGCGACAGTAAGGGACTCTATCTGGAGGAAGACAGGCCTGGGTTCTCAACTACATCTGTACTGGACAAGCCACTCACCCCAAGTCCCAAGTCTACACCTGTGAAACAGGAATGGGGATCCTGCCCTTGTCGCCTCCCTGTGGGGGGTCAATAACATTTGCATCTCCTCTGCCACAAATGTTTCCTGGGTCCTGACCTCAGGGCTGTCTCTTGTCTAGGCATCGGAGCTGCAACCTGGATTAGAAAGATAATGTCCTGGCCAGGTGTGGTGGGTAAGTCAGGTTATGTGGGAGGTAGAAATCAGGAGAACTAAGTTTGAGGTTCGTCTGGACAAAAAAGTTAATGAGACTCTATCTCAACCAATGGCTAAGAGTGGCGAGGTGTGTCTGCCATCCTGGCTACAGGGAAAGCATAAAAATATCCAACATGAAGAGGGCTGGGCTGGTGAATTGGTTTAAGAGGTAGAGCACTGAGGCCCTGAGTTCAACCACCAGTATTGGGCCCTCCCTCCCCCCCTCCCCCCCCAAAAAGAAAAAGATATGATATCCTGCCTTCATGGGATTAATGTTTGGGCAGGGAGTAACCATGTAATTTCACCCAGAAGAAAAGCTTGCTTTTCTAGGAAAAAAAAATCATCATCAATATAGCAAGTGTACCAACTACACCAATAGTGTGACAACACCAATAATGATGGTGATAATGAGAACTACTGGAATTGTGGCAAACACTTTATCCACTGGACCTTATTTAAGCGCGTCATAGCATGCCATGTGGGTTCTGTTGTTATGTCAAGTTTATGATGTGGAACCTGCGGTGCAGAGGACTCAGGAACTTGTGCAATGAGTAGAAGCCCAGAGCACAAAGCATTTGGGGACCTGGAGGAAGGATGGGGGAAGGCTTCTGGGGCCCCAAAGCCTTGGCTGGTGCAAGAGCTCTGCTGTGAGCCTGTTCCAGCTCCGAGGCGACAGAGGGCAGAGCCCCGGAGGACCTAGAGTTTCTTGAGGCAAAGGCCATCCCATGAGTGATGGACTCAGCTTCGAACCCTCGGTGGCTTCTTCTGGTTGAGAGCAACCAGAGGAGACTCAGGCCACAGGCCGTGGTAGAGAAGGTGGGTAGGTGTCTAGGAAGCTGGCCAAGCAGGTATGCAGAGGACAGTGCATTCACGGTGCCCGTTAGGGAAAAGTCCGGTGTGGAGGCATGTCGTTCAGAGCTTCCCAGAAGTAGCCAGGGAACCTTGTTCCCTGGACTTCCTACCCAGAACTTCAGCCCTGGGCCAGGGCTAGTGACTTCAGCAGGCTCCAATAGGCACAAGTCTCACACAATGCAAATTAATAGGAGGCAGCTGGGGCAGAGGGGAAAGTACTCAACTCGGAGTCACAAGACTTGAGTTCTAGTCCTGCCTCTGCCCTGGGCTTACATGCGACTCCTCCTGGGTGCATGTTTCTTCATTGCAGGAGCAGCCACCAGTGTGTCAGCATAGCCTCTGGTCACAAGATGGTCAGCTTCCTCGTTCTTGGCTTTCAGAGCCTTCTGTTTGTGGGCTCGGGGCCCAAGCCCTCTTGGTCTGCCAGAGTTGTCAAGTCCTATGGAACCTCTTCTCTAGCCCCTGCTTCTCAGTGGGGCCTGGCTGATCATTGCTATGTTCACATGCATTGTGAGTCTTACACATGCAGCTGTCACGGTCCTGCCTTGAGAGCCAGGTGTGTGTCTCACACACCATAGACAGGTTTATTTCTCAAGAAGGCCTGGGTTCATTTCTTTCTGAAAAATAGTGTCCAATCATTCATCTAGGCTGAGGTTGCCAAGTGCTCTGGCTCCCCTGGAGCCAGAAGGCACAGACTCCAAGACCACAGGGAGCAGGAGGAGAGGATGCCAGGGGGCCACTGCAGGACAGTGGAGTTGGACAAAAGGGGTTGAGTCTTGGCTCCTCTGCTTGACCTCAATTTGACTGAACACGATAAAGTCCCCAGAGAGAAGAGCTAACAGAGAGGGAACAGCCCTTACTTCTTGCCCATCAGCTGCTCTCTTCTTCAACAAGCAGAGCGATAGTGGAGGAGGTTGTCTATTGTGGGCCATTCATGGGCTTAGACTCTTAGTGCCTCCCTTAGGCCTAAAGATGCCAAGATGGCTGCAGCCAGAGGACAGGGTGGTCACAGGAGAATGGGCTCTGATCTCAAGTTCGCCAGGATCAAACCAGGAGTACTCAGACTGAACCAACTGTCCAGGATCCCACAGCTCAGATGTACAGTTGTTAGGTGCTAAGGTCTACTGTGGGCTGAGATGGCTCCTGGGAGTAGAGCTGGCATGTCATTAAGGGATGGAAGGGCTCCAAGCAAGAAGCCGCTGGTGGGCAGTTCACTGTAAGGAGCCGTGAAAGGGCCTCAGGGCTCCTGGAGTGTATTAGCATCTGCCTAGGCTGGACTTGTAGTCGCTCTGGAACAAGTGAGAGTAACCCGAAGAGGAAGCATAGCATCATTGATGGCCACCTGGAAGGCCATGCACCCACTGCTGTGAGTGCCCTACCAGGACTGAGGGCAGAGGCCCTGCTCTCCTGACCTCTTGCCATAAGCAGTCAGGCTGAAGCATTCCACTGGGAAAGGTGAGACTTTATGTAGATCAGGCTTGGAGTCTGATTCCTATACAATCTAGCATGTGGGAGCAGTGGGGATTGTGTGTGACTCAAAGTTAAGGAAAAGTTGGGACGTGCTCCGGTTGTCATCCAGGGCAGGTGCTGACTTGCTCTGCACAGGTGTGCAGAACAACAGGGACAGAGCCCAAACCCAGAACCCTGGCCCATTTCCCAGGCAGGTGTTGGGCACTGAGTGAGCATATGGGCAGTGTTTAAGGATGGTGCTGGGCAGAATCTGTGTTCAATACAACACAGGAACGAGGATGCAGGTGGTGAGCCTACTTCCTCCATGTGAATTGGCTGAGGTGGTCCACAAAGTCAGCGTCTCTGTCCATTGAGCGGCAGGGTCTCTCTCCTCTCTCCTTGGACCCGAGCAGGCCTCTGTGGGACCCAGTGGGAGGCTGGTGCCTAACTCTGGAGACTGGCTCACAGAGATGCTTCCATGTGACTCCTTCCCTGCCCTCCAGCGATGTCACTCTGGAGGAGAGCAGCTGCCATGCAGGAGCCCGATGCCTTCAGAGTGTTGTTCTATGAGGAAAGTCAGGCCGCAGGGAAAGGCCACAGGTATATATGTTCTGCCATCACTGTAGGCCCAGCCACAACCAACAGCAAGAGTAGACATGTCAGTAAAGATACCTTCAGGGGACTCTAGCCCTAGCCCCATCTGATCTTCTGACATACAGAATGGCTGTGTGTCACAAACTGGTGTCTTGTTCCCTGGCACCATTGGTGAGCACCTGAGCTGGAGCTAGAATGTGACCTTTGAACTCCCTGTGCAATGTCCTGGTACTGCCTCATGGCCTACCCCATCCAATGCTTGGGGGCCAGAAGCCGACCCTCAGGAGAAACAGTGCATGCAGGCCCTGAGCACGGGATTTCTGGTATCACCTCAAGGGACCTCCCCCAGCAGCCCTGTGGTGTGAGCCTGCATGTCACACTCCTGTTCCCAGAGAAATTGGGACTCAGAAGGATCAGACCAACTGTCTAGTATTCCACAGCTCAGATACTGTAGCTGGGCTCTAACTTAGGTCTGCCTGACCCCAGAGCAGGGTCCTTGCCACCCAGCAAGAAAACAGAGACAGAAAGCGAGTCATATAGCAGTCCCGGAGGTGTGAGTGCAAAGAGTTAAGGCTGAGGTTGAGCTTTTTTGGACTTGAGTGCTGCCCAGGAGTCTCCAGAGGAAACCTGTCCATTGAGAAGCCACGGAGGCGGGGTCAGTCAATCTGGAAATGTCTTTACCAGCTCCAAGGCACACACAAACATAACTTGCCCTCCCTGGGGGGTCAACATTCTGTATGATTTTTTTTCTTGTCAGGAAAATATTAGTTCATTTGTACAAACTAAACGTTACATGCAGGGGAGAAATGAAAACGTGGCATTCCTGTACTCGTTTCTCCACAGACCCAGGAATGAGAAGGTTTCTCCATTTCCTTTCTCACAATGTGCCCATGGAAGGCAGAACTGCCTGTATGGCCACTTCCCAAGAGTGCAAAGTTGTTAGGGGAGCGGGGGGCGGGGAGGGGAGATACCAGGGAAACAGCACAACTCAGGAACCACTTCTGAGGTTGGGGAGGCATTCAAGATCACGGCTGCTATCACTCACTGCAGGCCAAGGTCTCCCAGTCCTTGAACTGGTTGGGAAGGCTCAGAGGCCCACCCACCCTGAGCCATCTTGGTTGTCTTACATTGGCCTCCTTGTGGCTCCAAACATACATGTTCTAGCCCTCCTGGCTTTGCTGCAGTGTCCCCAGCTGAGGCATGGGTGTCTGTCTTGTTCCTGATAGGCATTTGGCTCAGAGCAAGGGAGTGGCCCATGCAGGCCTGGGTAGCATGAGTGAACAAAGAAGCACATCTTGGAACATTTTCCTCGGCAGGTGTAGGGGTGTGTGACTACTAGAAAGAGCCCTAAGCTGGAGCCAAACACCCACACCAGCCCCCTCCTACCCCCAGGGGCTGAGGGAATCGGCGTTCTTCCCATTCCTGGGACTGTAAGAGGAACATTCCTGGCCCTGAGTCTGTTCAGGTTCTTGCCACGCGGCTCAGTTTAACAGCCAGGCCCAGAAAGGCTTCCCTGGAGCTGGCTCTTGGGCCCTGCCCTCTTGGGACCCCCTGGCTGCCCCAGCAGCAGCTGGCTGTCAGGGAAGCTGGGGTCATTGATCACATGGGAGTCTCCCGGACACTCCCCAGCCCTCACATCCTGCTTCCGTGGCTGAGGCCAGGGATATGGAAAGCTAGTGGAAAACACTCCTGTGCGAGGGACTCACTCCTCGTGCAGAAACTGCTGGCCTCAGCACTTCTCCGGAAGGCTGTGCGGAGTCAGCAGCTGGCTGGTGCTAGACCTGCCTCCAAGGATAGGTGCCCATGGGGCCCAGTGAGGAGCTCCCAGCTGGGGCTAAGGGGAGAGCAGCTGACCATGGGCACTGACCCATAGCATGCTGGGTTCTAGGAATTCCACACTAGGTCAGTCCCTCACGGGGGGCTTTTACTCTGGTGGGGAAGACAGATGTGGAGCAAAGGAATACACGGCTGGCTGGCTTGGGAGACAGGCCCATCCAGAAGAGGGGGGTGCAGAGAGCTGCCTGCAGAAAGGTATGATACAAGGGTCAGCAAACCTCTGACAGCCCAGTCAGGAACTAGTTTTAGGCTTTGCAGGCCATAAGATCTTTGTTCTCATTACTCAACTCTGTCACTGCTGTGTGAAAAAGAAAAAACCAAACCAAACCAAACAACAACATCAAAACAAAACAAAACAAAAAAACCACAGACAAAAATGTCAGCCACGTGGCCACATTTCCCTCTACAGAGAATCAGGATGAGCCAGATTTGGCCAGAGCTTACGTCCCTGTGAGCAGAGGCTGGCCTGTCCAGGAGTGGGGTGAGGTTGGGAAAGGTTTCCCTGAGGCAGTGGCATTTAACTAAATGCTGAATGATTCAGTGACAGCAGCATAACATTGACAACCATTGATGATGACGCAGTGAGCATGCTCAGTGCCAGGCTCCGGCTGCTTTATACATATGACCTTAGTAAGTTCCCATAGCAGCCCTGTGAGGGATTTGGGTGCTGTACCCGCTTTACAAGTGTATAGTGCAGAACTGAGCATCGTGGAGGAACACGTCCACTGGGGGAGGGTTTTAGAACAAGAACAGAGATGGGAAGGTGGAGACAGTGCCAGGTGCTTTCCTTCAGTCACCCCTGCTTTAGCAAAGGAGGGAATGGGTTCCAAAAGAGACTGCAAAGACTTTTTAATACTTGGCTTGGGGGAACCCTGTGAAAATCAGGCTCTGGGCAGTACCATGATAACTTGGTACTAAGTTGTAGACAACAGGATCTTCGGAGGCTCTGAGATTTCCTTCTGCCAAGTCTGGGTGCCAGGTCAGGGTGCATTTTACAGGTCAGAAAAAGTGAGAATGGAAAGACACAGAAGCTAGAAGCCTACCCTGGAGGTGGGCAGAGGACCCTTGCAGGAAGGATGGCAGGAGGCTTTGCGGGCTCTGGGGTCCTAGTCCACTGGGACCTGTCCTCAGCTGGAATGTATCTGGGTGGTTTGAGCAGGCTGAAGGCTGGGCTAGGCAGCATCTAGTAGCTGCCCGCTCTTCCCAACAATCATCATAGATCACACTATGTGGTTGTCATCTTCCAGACTGACATTCCAACATTCCTGAGACTGATCCCATTTCACAGGCAAGGAAACTGAGGCCCAGAGGAGTGAAGTCACTTGTCTAAGGCTTCAATGGCTTAGAACCCAGGTTGATGTGACCATGAGCTCAAAGTAGTAGGAGGCCATGTTTGGTGCTCCCTTAGATTTTTCCTGAGCACTAAACAGCTGCCCGTACTTTTACAACATGCTGGTGCAGGCAGAGCACTTTAAAGACCTGCACTTGTCCAGGCATCACAACAACCCTATGCTGAGAAATCCAGTCTTAGCTCCATCCCAGGGAAGAGGCCACTGAAGACCTGTGTAAGCAACACAGCTAGGAAACAACAGAGCTCAGGTTCTCATAATCAAGGAGGAAGTATAGAGGAGTGGAGGAGGGGAGGGGAGGGGGAGAATGCCCGCAGGTATGCTTCCCCATTAAGTAAATAAATCTGAAGCCTGAGGAGGCGAGGCAGTGTCTGGTGGGTGGCATAATATGTTGGGTGTCTTGTGCATCCAGACTTGGGTGTGCTGGGGTACAGCTCAGATGACAAAGGTCCAAGTGTCCTGGAGGAGATCATGGGGTTTCCTCTACTTCACATATGCTCTTCACTCAGGGGTGACACTTCGGGCTGTTCAGTCCAAGCTCCTCCAGGGTCAGAGAAGCCCTCAGAAGTCCTATGTGTCAGAAGCCTGTCTGATGCATGCAGGGTCTGTGAGCAGACAGTTGAGTCTACCACTCTAAGGAATCAGTTGTGCAAGTCCCCCGTCCCGGCCCCCCAGCAGCCAGGTTTGGGATCTGGGTGGTTTTGCTCCCAGTGGAGTAGTTACAATACCTGCAAGATCTTCCTTGGAGGAGACCAGCCTTGGGGAGCTGCTTCCCGGTTCAATTCTGAGCGACAGTCTGCAAACAAAGATTTTTATAAGATCAGAGAGGCCCTAGGGGGTTGGGACAGGATGTGTGTGTGTGTATAGGTGTGTATAGGTGTGTAAGATCTGCTCCTGATCACCGCCCTCCTCCCTCTGATGTCTCAAAGAGCTTTCCATGATGAGGAAGCAGGGGTCTGGAAGGCAGATAAATGGGCAGTGTGTTAGTTCTCTCAACAATCCTGCAAAAAAGAACATTTCATAGTCAAGGAAACTGAGAAATGGTTAAGCAGATTCCTTCTTCAAATTCATGGGCTAACATGTGGGTCTTTCTGATGGAAAGGAAGGCTCCAAAGGAGCATGACTGGCAAAGTGGCGTGTCCTTTGTGGTGTGGAGACAGTCCCAGGAGGTGAAGGACACCCCAAGCCCACATATACGAAGCAGAGGCAGGCCTCCTACTCCTTCAGGCTCATCCCCAGAAGAGGGGCACCTAGGATCCAGCAGGAGGGAACCCCTGCCCACACATGAGAGAAGAGCCAGATGCCTCCTAAGCATTGCCACAGAATGTGGATGGGAGTAAAATGGAAACAAGAGTCCAGCAACATGGGAGACCTTGAATTATCAAAGAAGAAAGGGATAGTGCTGCCTCTTGGCTGGACCCAGGAGGCAGCCCTGGGGACAAGGAGAGCCCCTCAGGTGTTTGAAGTAAAGAAAGACTCACCAAAGATATGAGCTGAACAAAACCAAACTTGAAAAGTGCAATGCTGAAACAAAGAAATCGGATGAAATGGAGACTGACAGAAAGGACCAAATCAAAGACTGAAACCAGAGAGGGCTGGTAGAATACCTAAGTAGAAACAGACCACCCAGGGACCGACAAAAACTGAGGAGGAGACTGCAGCTTCAGAGGGCAGAGAACACCCAACACATGATCTCTGTGAGACAGAAGCCAAGAGCTGACACGGAAGAAGCCAGACAACCACCACTGGTGCTCATCTGCAGTGAAGAGAGAAGCCCAGCACAGTGCAGGGAGGTTTTTCTGTAAAGGATCCACCACTCTGAGGTCTTCCCAACCTGAGCTTCTGAACTTCCCAGATCTCATCAACCCCCAAGGCACCTCATCTATAAACTACGTTCAAGAGGGAAAACAACCAACAATTGAGAATGCCTACAACAGAATCCAGTGCCAGGAGGCACAAGGCAGGGAATTCAGGCTTGGGGGAGGGCAGAGGGTGGCTGGCAAAGCCAGGCCCATTGGACACACACATTTCCATGGAGAACTCAAGGAACTGTGATGGAGAAAAGGGGAGGACCCTGGTTCCTGATGAAATCCAGCTAAAGAAGGGATTGATGTAAAATACAGACTCCAGGAACAGAGAAGCTGCAGAGGAACAATGGTGGTAAGAACGAATTCTTTCAAAGTATGCAACAGTAGGAACTAGGATCTCTAACATGGTGTTAATGTTATAAACTTGGACTAAGTGATGCGCAAATAGCACAATTAACAAAGATCTGGAAGATGTTGAAGAGGAGGAGGAGGAAAAAGGAGAAGGAAGGGGAGGAGGAGGAGGAGGAGGGGGAGGATCGGCAGTGCTAACAGTTTCTAGCCAGAGCCAACTGGGAAACCTAGTTATGAGGACCCTGACTCAGGCCTCCTTGTTTTTCCTGACTCCTACTATAAATTTTAGAACATTCTTTTAGGAAATAATACCTCTTGAAATACAGAAATATTTAGAAGAGCAATTCCTTGCCTTTTATTTCCATTCCTTTTCCTGGCCAATGAAAAATTAAATTAGTATTTTAAGTTAACAATACTAATGGTAGGGCCGGGGATGTAGCTCCGTGGTACAGTGCTTGCCTACCATGTCCAGAAGCAGCCCTGGGTTTGATGCAAAACACCTCAAAAAAAAAAAAGTCAAGGGTAATATGATCTGACTTTTTCTAACATTTCAAATTCAGCTCAGGACCTTGATCTTGCTGATCAACTACTTGAGCCACACTTTAGCCCTTTTGGCTTCAGGTTGTTTTTCAGGATCTCACACTTCTTGCCTGGGCTAGCCCTGGCTCACAATCTTCTTCCCTATGCCTCTGCTATAACTAGGATTATAGCTATGCACCACCACACCCAGATTATTTTTTGAAATGGGGTCTTGCTAGGTTTTTACTTACAATGGCCTCAAACAGTGTTCTTCCCAATCTCTGCCTCTCAAGTAGCTCTATTAGTACTGTCCACAACTTGAATCCATTTATCCTTGTTTATGTATATATAATGGACATGCTTTCTTGGTGGTTGGACTTCGGGTAATTTTAAATCAATAAAATAGATTAACAGCTAAGGAAGACAAAGCATTGGTTGGGCTTCTTGGTATGGTTTCTCAAAGCAGATTGGGACAGGATGATGGAAGTACAATGTCATCGATGTCTGACCAAGCCTGAAGCCTTGGGGGTGAAGAGCCAGCTTCCAGATGTGAGTTGTCTAGGAACTGTGTACTGGTTGATCCTCATAGGCTCCCTACCTCCTGCCACTCCAAATAGGACCCTTTTCTGGGTTTTCCCATTCTGGCCACAACAAAGGGCCTCTGTAAACCCCAGGCTGGCTGCAGAGCAAGGGGTGCTTCACGTCCTTCAGAATAGAAGGAGTAATTACTCATAATCTGTAGCTTGCCAAGGATTGTCTCATGGTCACAAGTATTTATAGACCCTTTTCTCCCTAAAGCATATTAATGTTAATGAAAAACTACTGTCTTTTTAATCACAAAACTGGTACATGAATGGAAAATATTATCCCAGAAACTAAGTGGGAATAATTTTACACTCCAGGCCATTCTTTTTAGGAACAGCAAATGCTCTGTAAATAAAATGAGCTCAGTTTGTGATGAACATAATTTTAATGGTGACTTCTGGCTTTTATCTGTGTTTTTTATTATTATGCAATAGATCATAATTTTATATCATTCTTTATTATGACAAATTATTTTATAATAACAACTAAGACATTACGTTCCCAAAGATCTTTAGAACCACACAGGGAGCTATGAGAAAAGACGAATCTCTGGCTCTACACTACATGCCTGGGTAGTTAGGAAGTGTTTTATTCAGGTGGCTCTGGCCTGACACATAGCCAGAGTGGTGAGCTCTTGTTCAGAGCTCAGGTGTCTCCGTCAGGTGGACACTAGATAGCTCCTCCCCAAATCTCCTGAGCAATGCTAGCGGCTAAGGTTTAGTTTTTGCTGACTTAGATGAATACCAAGGAACCAGGAAGATAAGTTTTGTGTAGGCACAAACTAGAAGATTCAAAGAAATTGCGGCATACTGGAAATAGTATGACAAGTAAGACAAGATATAGAAAAATACCTATAAAGTGACATTTAGGTGGCAAATGATCCATTTCAAGATACTGGGCCTTGCCTCTTTTTTTCTTTTCTTCTTTTTTATTGTTGTTATAAAGGTGATGTACAGAGGGGTTACTGTTTCATAAGTCAGGTAATCAGTATATTTCTTTTTTGGCAGTGTCACCCCTTCCTTCCTTTGCTCTCTGAGTCCTGTTTCTTATCAGGTTCTGTGACAAAGTATGGAGGTTCTTAGTTGACCTCAACCTCAAGAGGAGCCAAGAGGACATTCAACCAATATGGCAACAAAACATCCTCTCCCCAAATGCAAAGCAATGCTGGACAAATTCCCAGGGCCACCAATGAAGAAGGAACTGAGAATCAGAGCAGGAAAGATGAATCCAAATAGAAGATGAACCAAAGGGTCTACAGAGCTATTTCTGAGAAGAGGGTCTACCTATAAGGGGTAGGGGTGGGGGACACAGGAATAGTGGTGGAGGCCATGGCCAGTGCAAGACAGAAGAGTCCTGCAAGGAACTGAGATCTACAAAACATGGAGAACTCTGCTTGTTGGTGTGGAGATATAGCCAGAAAGCCACCTCTGGCAAGAAACAGAGAGGCAAGCCAGTGCCATGACTCGTGTGAAGTACACGTGCATACCTCCAAGGCCATGTGAGAAGGCTGCACTGAGACATAAACCAGCAGCTGCCTTGGGCCAGGGGCCTTGTGGGTGGGGGCAAGTTGGGTATGGGGGCTGATTGCTGTGGGTTCAGGGAGTGGTCTCACTACCTGAAGCATTGTGGGTAATGGGACCTGGGAGACCTGCACCAGGCTGTTCATTGGTCCCAATAAGGACAAGGCTGCCACAGGGATCCAAGTGCTGAGGACAACAGCACTTGGGGTTGGGTAGGCCAGAGTCAGCAGTGGGAGGGGACTTACTTGTAGTTGTCATCTTCCACAAACTTCTGGAGCTCTTCAATGTAGCGAACTGACTTCAGGTACTTCTGCACGTGGGGCAGGGTGGTAAGGTGATCTGAAAAATACCAAAAAAACCCCAGAGGCTCCAGTCTCAGAGCCCAAAACAGTGGCCCATTGATTTCCCTCTGGATTCTCCTAGTTCTCTGGCCAAGAAACTGAGGCCTCCATTCAGAGCTCTAAACTGGGAAAAGATGGTGCCCACTTCCAGATCACACCAGAACTGGGAATCTGTTCCCTTACCAAGTTTCGCCTAGGGATAACCGGCAAGCCCCCGTGACTGCCTACCATGTGTGTGACACCAATGAAAGACCCATAGAGCTCAACTGAGACAGTAGCCGTGGCTGGAGCTGCTGATCATCTCAAGTCCTGAGAAGAAAGGAGAGGCCTGACACCAGAGCCAGGATCTATACAAGGTGACTTGCAGTGACCACTTGTTCTAACCTTCACCCCAAATCTCATGTGGGAGAAATAATATCCCTATTGTCCACAGGAAGAGACAGACCACAGACAAAGGCTGCATTGCTGAGTGGCAGAGCCGGATATTGACTCCAGGTCATCTCAAGCTTATGTTTCTTCTCTTTATAGAGTGACTGACACCAGGCCCTCTCCCCTGACCCTTATGGTCACTGCACTCCTGAGAGTTCTATGGTGCAACAGACATGTCAAGGGGAAGGTGGAGGGAGAGGAAGGCTTGGAATGGAGCAGAGGAAGAGGGAGAGCCCTCATTTTCTAGGCTTTGAGAATCTTGAAGGCCAGCCTCTAAACTGAGATTCTGAACATTGTTTTGTTTATTTAATTCCTCAGTCCTTGTCTCTGAAAAGAGGACAATGACACCTGCTTTACAAGCTGATGATGGGTGGGATGGCATGGGGGGAGGGGCATGCAGGAATCACAGTGGGAAAAGCAATGTTCTCTGAACTCTGGGTAATGTGAGGGACTGCACTAAGGACTTAGCAAGAGCATAGCTTGTTTTCACACCCAAGTGAGCTTGGACAGGACAGAATGACTTCAAGTGGCAGCATGTGAGTCTGCCTGACCCTATGTCCAGTATCTATGACTGTTCTGATGGCCAGTAGGACAAGGTGCTGGCCTGTCTGTAAGTTGAGGCACTGGGAGAGAAAGTGCCTGCCTGATCTGGGCTGTGGATCTGCCATCCCATCGTGGGAAGTCTGTGAGCCCACCCTGGCTCCACTGTGCTGCTCCTAGATGGATGCTGTAGTTCTCTTAGCCTGTACGTGCAGGTGGGGCTGGCTTGTTTTTTTCACCCTCTTGGTTCACCCAGACTTGTACTCCTCTACCCTCTTGTGAAACCCCTGCTTTAGAGAGGCACATTCTCCCCTCTGTTGTTCATGACTTCTGCCTGGTGGCTTGCACCCACTCATAAAGGAGTAGGGCACATGGCTCACAATTCAGTTCCACATTCATAAATCTACCATCTTCTTGGATAAAATCAGTGTCTTCGTGGATTCAGCATTCTGACTTCTCAGTTCTAATAACCTTTCTTCCATCCATTCCCAGCACCTGCTGTTACAGGTGGTGACACATGGATAGGGCCATGTGTAGCAGAGCCTGGCCAGCGGCTTACCAAGTCATTCCCCCTCTCCTTCATACCCATAGCTAGGGCATATTGCATCGCCTCCTGTGGCAGAAATGATGTATACCTTTTGCAAGTTTGGCCCATAAAACCAACCTTGTATGCTTCTCTGTCTTCTGCTGCTGCCACCTGGGTGCATATGTGGAGGCTTCTGGGCTCATAGGAGGCAGCAGAGTCACAGGTGGAAGGAATCTCCTCCTAAATCTGCTTTGAGGAGAGCACCTGAGAACTGTCCGCCAAGCCTTTCATGAATGAGTGCCCCAGAAACCACAGATCTGAGCTCTACACTCACTGAACAGCCTTCTTAGTAACTCAGCCATTTTTGGCTTGTTTTCCCCATCTGCAATATAGCAATAATCCTATCTAGTTCACAGAGATCAAACCGATGTGTAGAGGATCTGCTAAACATTTGGAACACAAGATTGTAAAATGAAGAGCTTTGTGAGGACTGCCAGGTTTCTGGAGCTTTCTAATGGCTAAGATGCCGGATCCAAATTTCAGTGATACAGGGTTTCATAATTCCAACAACCAAGGGTACTCACCGTAGCTGCAGGAAACTTGTAAGTCAGCAATTATTCGTAAGATGTTGTTCATCTGATTGGATCTTTGTTCATTTTCCATGATGCTCCCAGAGGCAGGATATGCAGAATCAATGTAGATTAAATCCAGAAGATAGATCCCTAAAATTAAAGAAGATATTTAATTATGGAAAGAGTGCATGGCTAATCACAAGAGATGAGCACAAGCAGCCCTGCTCTGTAAGAAGAAAGCATGAAACCAGAGACACTATTTGGGCTTGAATTCCAATTCTGACTGCTCAGTTTTCATACAGACTGCTCAACTATAAATCAAACATCTGAGTAACAACCAAAATGATGCTGGTGGGTTTGAGTTTTAGCATTTCTGGCTCACATAGTTTCCAACAATAAGCTTTTCCTTGTAACAAAGTAAGATAAAATGGACCTGAAAAAGATACATATTGATGGTTTTCAACTAATAATGTTTAGTAGGTCTAAGGTGTCATGTACAGGAGAACACAAACATACACAATCACAAATAACACAAATTAATTAAGTGACAAAATAAGCAATTTAAAATGGGATATCTGGAAAGAGAGGTGTGGCTCAAACTTTAAAGTACCAGTCTTTGAGTGAAAAACAGGACACTTCTCAGTCCAAAAATTAACACCAGCCAGAGACTTCGCTCAAAGGCATGTAATAAGAAAGTAAGTTATATGATATGAAAGCATGACTATGACAGGTCAGTGATGCAGAGGGGAGGGTCTCAGGACAAATCTTCTGTGGGGAGAGGAAAGAAGACTGGCTCCACAGCTTCAGTCTGTCTGGACATGTGGGCAGACAGAGGGCCACATGTGTTTCTAGCAGCTCTCTGTGGTCCCACCTATAAAGTAGTGCATGGCAAACAAGGAAAGATGGTATCAGTGAAAACCCAGCTGATGGAGAAGATTCGATGATTTCAAATTTAAGTTCATGGAGCACCATCTCATTAAACCCCACTAAGCAAAAAACTGCTAAAAATGAAAGTGAATTCAACAAAGCCACAACCACATATGCATATAAACATATATGTGCCTATATATGCACATGTATATGTACATTGGTATGTGTGTATCTATGATATAGTATTATAATAACAAAATCTATAAACTTGGTTCTATGTAAATAAAAATACAGTTATTGCCGGGCACCAGTGACTCACGCCTGTAATTCTAGCTACTCAGGAGGCTGAGATCTGAGGATCATGGTTCAAAGCCATCCTGGGCAGGAAAAGTCCATGAGACTCTTATTTCCAATAAACCACTAGAAAACTGGAAGTGGCTCAAGTGGTAGAGCACTTGCCTTGAGCTGAAGAGCTGAGGGATAGTGCCCAAGCCCAGAGTTCAAGCCCCATAACCAACAACAACAACAAAAACCAACCAAACAAACAAAAACCAGTTATTTTCAAATACCTATGGAAAAGTTACAAAAGCTGATTTATACTATATTACAAAGAGAAGCTCACTGTTGGGCATAGGTTTATGCCTAAATCCTAACTATTCTTGAGGTAGAGGTCAGGAGAATCAAGGTTCCTGGCAAAAAAATTCATGACCTCCTTCTCAACCAATAAAAGCTGGGCATAACAGTATTACCTGACATCCCAATTACATGGGAAATAGGAGCATCTTGGTACAGGACAGCCTGGGCATAAAGGCAAGATCCTATTTTAAAAAATCACTAAAGCAAAAGGGCTGGGGGTATGGCTCAAGCAGAACGCCTGCCTAGCAAGTGCCAAGGGCCTGATTTTTTTTGCAGTACTGAAAAAAGAAAAGAAAAGGAAGGAAGGTAGATTATGAAGTCCTAAAAATTAAATGTCTCACATTATTTTTGACTATCCTATGATAAACCTAAGGTTTAAATATAGGAAAATTCTAATTACTTGAAAACATATACACATACACACTCATCAGTAATTTATAGGTTAAAAAAATCCTAAAATAAAAGATCTATTTGAAGACATGACAATGAGAACACTACATATTAAAAGTATAGTTCTGGCCAAAGTGGTCATCAGAGGAAAACTTTTAGCCTTAAGAGTTGCTATTAAATTACTAAGGATTTTACAGACATGGGAGTTAACCTGATACTTAATGTAGGAGTTTTGCCTGGATGGTTGAGAATTACCCAGAGAATTACATTGACATTTATTATCTTATTTGTCCTTCCAACAATGCATTCTGTAGAGGATGAAAAGGAAAACTCAGAGAGGGTTTGTAAACTGCTTGAAGCCACACAACTGGTAAATGGAAATGGTTGTCAAATCCCGTTCCACCTCCTCTGTCACTACAGTGGACCACTATGCTATGAGTCATTTCTCTGCTTCTAAAATAGCTCATTGTTACGGGAAACTGTTAAATCACAGAAACATATGCTAGTACTTCTCATAGGGGCCATATCCACATCCTTTCTTCCTGGCGGCACCATTTTCAAAATCTTAGCAATTGGAAACAATTTTCCTTGTATAGAAGCTCCAAGCTTGGTAAGTTTGAGTCCACCAATTTTATACTTTCTTTTGACTTTACTTTTCCTCTTCCCTCTTAAAAATGCAACTCTCTGAGGATTCCACAACGGCAATCCTGAAAATCCCATTACTGCTTCAACCACAACAAAAAGCTGGTGCTAAGCAGGGAAGGAGGGCTGTGGGCCATGAGGCAGCAGGGTTCCAGATGCACGAACACTCCAGCTTGCTGATTCAGAGAGTCTGGGCGAAAGGAGAGCAGGCCCAGGAGCTGAGACACTGCAAATCAGGGTAAGGCCAGAGGGTCGACTACAAGGCAGAACTTATTCCCCCCAGAAGGAGGGCGAGACAGAGACACTAAGGAGCTGCCCACAGCCTCAGAGCCTCACACGTGTGCTGGTGTCTTTACTAGCTCTTTCTGGTGGCAGCTCCAGTGTTTTCCTATTCAACATTGGAAACACAGAGAGCACCGCCGCTTGGCGGGCTCCCCTATGCTACCCCATGAGGACAATGTGGCCCTTTGGCTTGTTCTGTGGTCCTGCAGGATTCTGAGCAGTAGTGCTCTACATACAGAGGCTAGAGCAGTGCACCTACAAGAGACAGCATGCCATTTCTGCACAGCTCCTCCCCCTGCTCTGACCCTCTTACATGTACCCTAGAGACACGAGTGTCTGAGTGTCTCACTACTGCATAAGAGATGGAGAGATGGAGTCCACTGACATGCCCACAATTCTCCTCTGCAAAGAGGAACCACCACATAGATAGCCCTGCACTCCCACAACAAACATGATCATGGTTCAAGGGAAGCTTTGTGTGTCATATTAGTCCATGATAGGAAATATTTACATACATGAAGCATAGTGAAATTATAAGAATAACCACCTCTGGCAGAGGCCATGCCAGGCACTGTGCAGAGCGCTCTAGTGGTCACAGCAATTCAAACAGATGCTTGTCTGTATCACTTGTATACTAACTCTTGACTTGACACCAGACCTAAGGCCCTGAGAATGGGACCGGGTCCTGTTTTTGAGTGTCCCAGCATCTGGAACAGGACACCCAGGAAGTTTGTGGTAAAAATCAACTGAAAAAGGCGAAAATGAGGGAGGGGGTAAAACTGTTCATAAAGAAATGAACTCATTATCTTACTTATATAACTGGAGCCCTCTATACATCACCTTTACAATAGAATTTAAATTTTATATAAAAAAATGAATGTGTGTTTTGCTTGGCCCATACGACAATCTTATGAAGCATATCTTGGTTACCCTTGGCTTATAGCCAAAGAAGGAGATACTGACACAAATGTTGATGAAACTGCTAATGTTCACAGAGTACATACTAGTTAGGTGCTAAACTAAGAGCTTGGGCTTGAGTACTGAGTTGTAAGAACACTGTTGTCCTGGGGGTTTTATCCGACTCTTACAGAGGAAGGAACAGAAGGTGAATGAGATTACATAGTAGAGAAGTGGTAGAGGCAAGATTCCCACACAGGTCTGTCTTGGCTGCTATACTGTTGGTTGGTTCTTCTTTTACTCCAGCAACATCTGCTGGCACCAGACAGTCAGTGAGGTGAGACAGGGACATAGCAGAACCTAGGGGACCTAAGCTCTTCCTTCCTGATTCCTCCTTTGGGATCACCATTACGTAGGAGGGGTCGTGATGGCACTGTGGCTACCAGTACCACCTACTGCTTTCCACCTCCCTCATCTGTCTTAGCTCCTTTTGTCAGTGGCCCACCCAGGCTTGAGGGCCCTGCCAGCTCTGCCACATGACAGGCAGCTGCAGTATAAGAGAGAGAATGTGGCACTTAGAGCCAGGAGACTTGGAGCACTGATTCTGCCACCTCCCAACTGGGTGGCCTCAGATAAGTCTGTCTGCTTCCCAGGGCCTCAGTTTCCTTGACTGTGAATGGGGAAGTGTCTGTTGTTGAAGGACTCTCCTGGCCTAGGGATAGGACCACCAGAGTGGCTAAGAAGCCAGGCTAACCCCAACTTGGCTTCCTTGTGAGGTCCTGCTGGGAGTGGCAGTGGGATGTCAATGGAGGGGTGGCCCAGCTGTGTTTGCCATAGCCATGAATGGTGTCCAGATGCCAGCCACAGCCACATGGGGGCCACCCCTGGCTGGACCAGTCCTGGCAGTGTCCATCTGGATTAGGACAGCACAGCTCCTGTTTCCATGTACACAGACGACACTACACTGTTGGCCCCTGAAGATGCAGAGTAATAAGACCAGCCTGGGGCTTTGGCTGCCATGGAGTTGAGTAGCGCCAAGGACTGGGTTAGACTGGGAGGGGCCCACATGGGGTGGGGATGAGTGAGGGACAGCTGAACAGCAAGGGTGGGCCCTGCTGGGCTCACAGGACCTTCACAGCACCGTGAGCAGGTATTCTCGTCCCTTCTCGCCCCTCCTCGCCGTACAGATGAGGAAACAAGCTTGGGGAGAAAGGTGGCTGGGCCAAGATCACACAGCTCTCAGAAAAGCTAAATTGGACCTGTCTGACTTCAAAGGTTTATGACAGAGAACAGTGCTGGGGCGGGGACCCTGCCAATTCTGCCTCCTAACCTGGACTCAAGCTTCCCACCAGAGATGTCCACAGGACGCCCGGGCCCAAGGAGAGGGCGCCAGGCCGACAAAGGAAGTGCTCTCCCAAACAGACCCCTGCTAT